TCCCCCCAGAGAGGCGTCCGAGAGGGGCTGCGGGAGGGACAGCGGCTTCTCCGATGGGAAGACCTGCCCACCGCAGGTGGCCCCCTCCGCCCCCGGGCCCGCCCCTCTTTTCCAGGAGACAATGCCTCCCACCTGTCACCGCCCGCCTCCGCCCCCGCAGCCTGCCCGTGGTGGCAGCAGGCCTCTCGCTTCAGGAACTCAGAGCAAGTCCCCGGGAAATGGGGCCTGACTCCCTGCCTCTGTGGCCCAGGGCCGTCCACCCAGCCCCCCAAAGCCTGGCTCTGACGCCTTCTCCCAGACCCTCCCTCTGCCTCATGCCCACTGCCCAGCCCCCAGCGCCCACTGTCCCCAAGCTGGCCCGTCCAGTCACAGCTGCCCCTCCCCGGGGCGCCCAGGCCAGCAAGGTCCTCGGGGACGCCTGCCCGCCCCCACGCCCCGGTTCCGCCTGAGTGGCTTCTGCTGGGTCTCGGGTCTCCAGCATTACTGCCAGGGAGGCCAGTCCGCCGTGGAGTGTGTGTGACCGGAGGGTGCGCACGGCTCCGAGCAGGCAGGGCAGGGGCCCGAGTGACCGGGTGGGGTGACGCCTGGGGGCCCGCCGTCCGCATCCGTCACGAGACGTGAGAGTCACACTGAGGCCAGAACAGTGTGTGAAATATTTCCAGGGTGACCAAGCCGGCCGTGAATAAGGAGGTCTGGCAGTGAACGAGGGATGGGGGGGGGAGGTTTCAGTGCCTGTGACAGAGAAAAGTGAGGCTCCTGTGACACAGGGAACTGGAATTAATAGCAGGAAGGGGAGAAACGGATTCAGTGCGGATAAAAACCCATGGGCAGGAGATGCAAGGGGCCACTGGGCTCCTGACCAGACCCAACTCCCGAGGCTTGGAAACACCACCGGAATGACACCGGCCTCGGGCGTGGGGCTCAGCAGCCCCATCTTTCGGGGGGCAGTGCTGAGCCCAAGAGCTTCATCTCCAAGACGGTGTGTCCTGGGGGCCGGGTTGTAGGCAGGATGATCCTTGTCCCGTCCCACTGTCTGAGCACCCCCGTCCCCCGATGCCCCCAGAACAGAGCCTGGGGGCAGCAGGTGCCAGAAAAGGGGGGAGGACACGGGGGGGGGGGCACCCTGATCCCAGATACAGGGCAGAGGAGGTCCACCTCGGTGTCTCAATGCCCCCTCTCGCCTCTTGTCATAAAGAATTAAAATCTATAATAAGAAAATTTAAGAGTCCCCCGTAATTCAGCCCCTCAGCGCCATGCCGGCCACCAGCCAGCCGCACGGAGCATCAATCCAGCCCCTCCCTCCGCTCCCAACGAGGGTGATAAAAACGTCAAACAGTTAGACTGTGTGGCCGACAGCGCCTGCCCGCGGAGTGACGGAGAGGCAGGGCAGGGCGCGTCCCTGGAATCACCCAGACAGAGGCAGCGGCCGCACCCCCGTGCAGTCCCCCCGACCCCCCACGGGGAGCAGCCCGTGGCCCTGTAGGTCCAGCGAGCAGGGCGGGCCTCAGGGACCTGCTGCAGGGGACGGAGGGACTGAGTGATGCTGGGGGTGGGGTGGGGAGGGCAGGGCAGGGCACCCCCGGGGACCAGAGCTCAGAAGGCCGGCCCCTCCCTGCTCCGCCACCAGCCCAGCCCGGACTGGGGAGGGGCCTCCTGGCCACTCCGCCCGGCCTGCCCTTCCCGGGACCCAGGCCGCCGCCTTCTTCATCGTCTCTTTTAAGCGTGGACACGTGTGGCAAATTGATTTCACCGTTGGAAATGGGATAATTAAACTGGTTGTTTCTATCTTCATCATCGCCGTCGTAAAGGGGGAGGACAGCCCGGCGTGGAGGGATGCGGTGCCTCGCGCGGGAGCGTTAATTGAATACAGATGGCCTCTGGTGACGCCGCTGGGCTATATTTCAGGAATATGGGATAATGATGCCCGTTCATCATCTTTACAAGATATAAAATTACTGGCTCCTCTGGAAAGATCATTAAGGAAAACAATTGTTCACAGCCATTGACAATAGAGTTTTAATTATTTAATACAGAAATTAAACTATGAGAGACCAGTGCTGGATGCGGGAACTTAATAGAAATTTATATACAAGGGCCTGTGGACATTTTGGTTTATTAACCCACCTACTTTCTTAATCCGGATCCATCCGGAAGCCTGCTGTGGCCGAGCCTGGGAATGAGGTCAGGAGAGGCGGGAGGCCCAGGTGTCCAGGCCCCAGGGGGCAGCGTGGGGCAGGGTGGCTCCCAGGGGAGCAGGGACATTGCTGGGAGCCCCATGCTGGGAAGTGAGGATGTGGTGCCAGGACCAGTGGAGGCTGCCAGGGGCTGGCAAAGGGCAGGACAGGAGCATGGGCCTCGGTCCGGGTCTGGGTGACAGGATTCCAGGGGCTGAAGTGAAGGAGGAACGTGAAGTGTGGACACAGAGCCCGCACTTCCTGGGCCCAGTGACACCCAGTGGCGGGACACCGCGTGCCGGAGCCCCAGCCCCCTCACCCAGCCCCCCTTCCCCACCTGGGGCAGCCCCACTGGAACAGGCCCCCCTCTAGGCACAGGGACCCCGGGGTGGGCAGGCGGCCTGCTGAGGGGAGAGGTGCTTTAAATTAGGATTCTGACTTTTAAAAATACAACTGGAACGGAAAGTCTTTGGGCGTGTAAGTGAGTAAGTGAGAGTGCAGGGGGCTTGCCCAGACCGCGGAGCAGCCCGAGGGGCAGAAAGCGGCAGAGAAAAGAGCCATCCAACGGTGACCTCTGCTGTCCGCTGAGAGGACTGTATCTCCCGGATTCCCCGCAGTGAAAACACCCCTTACTTTTACCATATGGAAATCACTATTTTCAAGACGATTCGGAAAACAAGCAGAACTTTTAAAAGGCGAATGGTGAGCAAGACATCCCTGCGGGCCTGAGGGGGCGGGACCGGGACACAGAGGGGCCGGGCCAGTGGGGACCCGGGGCTGTGGGAGCCTGATGGGGTCAGGCCCCAGCGATGGGCGGTTCTGGGTCAGGCTGTCGGAAGCTCCAGAGGAACCGCCTCAAGGTCACGGAGCCTGTCCCGAGCTCAGCCTGGGCCAGAGCTGCAGGCCCCCCCCCCGCCGGCCCCGCCCCCGCTCCCGCCGGCCCCGCCCCCGCTCCCGCCGGCCCCGCCCCGCTCCCGCCGGCCCCGCCCCTCCCGCAGGGCCCGCTGGCCGGCGGCGTGGCCGGCGGCTGCCCAGCCCTGTCACCCCGTGTCCTCTGTGGGACGTGTCCGGAGCGAGCAGACCTGGTCACCCTGTCCCTCAGGGCTGTCCACCATGCGAATTACATCCCGTCCCCCATTAGGACCAATAAATCCAAAGTGATCCTTCTTCTCCTTACAGTTTTTAGGGTTACATAAATTTCACCCACGTAATTTTTCCACGCTTGGATCTATTACAGAAAGCCACTTCTATTGTAGAAGTTAATTGATAATGTGATTTGTTATGTTGCTGGGACATAATTCAGAAAGTTATTTTAGCGCCTTTGATACATGAAATCGCGCTCACGTGGGGAGACACAGGGGAGGTGAGCGGTGCGCGTGCGATGAAATATCTCCAGGAGCTTTTATTCCTGTTGTCTGGGTGTGTGCCAGCACCGCTCCACAGAAAGCTCATATTTCCAGCGCCGCTCCGATCCAAATTTATTCCCTGGTCATTAGTTAGCTTAAAAAAAAACCTGGAGCAACTCTGTGTATGTATATGTTTGGAAAGTGGGGGGGGATCAAACAAAAAAGAGGAATCTCCCTCCACCTTTCAATATTATCAAAGACGAGATTTAGAAGCGCTTTATATTTAATTAATTGCAGATTCATGGAAAGCGGCATAAGTAGTGCAGACGGTGGTGAAAGGGACCCCAACCGCACGCACACTGTGCTGTCCACAGGCTTGTGTGTGTGGGTGCGTGCACCTGTGTGCACGTGTATGCATGTGAGAGCCTGTGCATGCACACATGTATACATGTATGTATGTGTATGTATGTGTATGTGTGTGGGGGTGCCCCTTCTGCTTTCTGGGTCTCCCTACCTTGTGTGCAGCCCACCCCCGCTGCCCGCCCCTGCACGGCTCCCTTCAGCCCCAGGGCCTGCCGTGAGGCTGGGGCGTAGGCCGAAGGTCTGACAAGTCCAGTGCCAGCCACTCAGCCGAGAGGTTTGGAGAGAGAGGGCACCCCCTCCAACCCCGCTGACCCAGCGTGGCACCACCCGTGCCAAGGTCAGAGGGCCAGCAAGGGGCTGGCGGTGTGGGCACCGACCTGGCCTTCCTCTGGGCCATCGTCTCCCCCATCGCCTCTCCCCGGGCGTGAGGAAACACGTGGACAGAGCCCGAGCCACAGAGCCAGCCCACGGCACCTGCTGCCACACCTGGTGGCTCGGCTCCACGTTTCGGGAACGACTGAAGACCAGCCCACCCTGACCCCATGGTAGCAGGAGAGCGGGCTGGGAGGGCCTGGCCGCGAGGACAGCGCCTCACAGGCCTCCGTGGCCGGCGGAGGAAGCCGTGTCAGCATCGCGTGAACACTGTCCCTCCCTGTGCCGGAGGGAGCCCAGCCGCGTGGGGGTCTGGGGGAGGCTGGGGCTCATTTCACACGGCCAGGCGGGAGCAGGTGCTGGTGCCGGGACCCCCGGACCCGGGGCCGGGCCAGGCCGCAGCCACCCAGCGTCCCGGCCACAGACACACTCAGGCGCTGGTTCGGTCCTTTACTGGAACTCTAACACGGCAAACAAAAGGGTCTCAGAGCCGGGCCCGTCCCTCCCAGGACCACAAGCCTCGTCCCCAGGGACATCGGCCAGGAACGGTCTTCCGAGGGCACCCTGCTGTTGGCGGCCTGTTGGGGTGGAGACCACCCTCCTCGGGGTCCCCAGGCATAGATGTGCCCCCTCGACTGGCGAGGCGGGTTCAGGGGTCCAGGCAGCCTGGGGTGGCCCTGGTGCAGCCCTCACCCCACCTGCCAGGAGGGTCGCAGTGCAGAGGTGCAGGCAGGCCCTGGGGGGCCCCGGGAGGAGGCGGCGGCAGGTGGCACCAGGGCCGAAGGGGAGGGCTCGGACCAGGGGGAGGTCCCTGCAGGAGGGCCCGGACGGGGTGTGCAGGGGCAGGGCGGCTGGGACGGGGATCACACGATGGCCTGGTTGGGCAGCCCATACAGGACCAGGTTGAGGCTGACGGAGGGCCACTCGGAGCCATGCAGCGGTGGTCGGAACGCCAGCCTGTTCTTGGGGGTCTGTGGAGACTCGTCTGAGGGGAGAGGGGGCAGGAGGCTCACTGGGAGCAGGAATTCCGGGGCCCAGCCCAGGGCCATGCGCCTGGGCGGGCGGGGAGGGGTGCCCTGGCTCTGCCTGTGACACAGCACCCCTCCCCCCTGCCCCCTGGGCCTGGACGCTGCTATGAATACCCCCCTCCCCCCGCATCCAACCCCCGCCCCCCCCTTCTCCCCGGCCACTGGGCTTTCAGACTTGGTGGGACTTGAACGGTTTTAAAGACAAATCGGCAGATCTGGCTGCCGGAGCTTCCCGAGAGGAGCGCCAAGGCCCCTCCCGGCTGCAGGCCCGTGTGCAGGAGGCCGTGTGGGCAGAGGTGGGGGCCCTGACACTGCAGGGTGCGGGCGGCGGGCACCGAGGCAGACAGCGTCTAGTTACCGTGGACCAGGTCCCCAGCTTCCATCCTCTGCAGGATGCGGGCCGCTCTCCCGGTTGTCTTGCCGTATGCCAGCAGGTCTGGGGGAGACATCCTGGGGTGGGTCCACCTCAGATACGTGGACCCGCCCCTCCCCGCCCGCCCCCGGGGCCCAGGGGTGGGCCGGGCCGGCCCACGCACTTTCCCACAGGACGTTGGCCCTCAGCGTGTTGTCCTGCAGCGCCGTTGGCCACTGGTTCGCCAGGATGCTCTTGACCCCCGCCAGGCTGAGCAGGATGGCCGTCTCGATGGGCTCCTCCAAGGCCAGCTGGGGGACACTGCGCGGACCAAGCCCCGTGGGACTGCGCCCTCCGGCCTCCCCCAAACGGCCCGACAGCGCTTCACACTTCCCACCCCCAAACGTAAGCGCCCCCCAAAGAGGGCACCCCCGGTGAGAGGAAGTCCGTGTCCTTGGGGTGCATGTGCTGGGGGCACCCGGCCCAGCCCAGCAGCCTCGAGGCTCTGGTGGCCGGCAGTCAGCTGCGGAGACCCTGAGACTCTGCTCCCTCTTGGGGCTCCGCCCACCGCTGCAGGGCGCTTCCCCGCCACACTCCCATGGGATGCATCCATCATGCATCCCCCCCAGGATCCCCCCCAGCAGCCTCCCCATGCCCGGCTGCCAGCAGGCCCCGCACCTCTTGTGCTCCGAGGCCTCCAGCGTCCGCCGCATGCTCTCGTAGGACCGGCTCCGGTCCAGCAGCACCACCAGACGGCAGTCTGCAGGACACGGCGGGCGGGGGGGGGGGGGGGGGGGGGCGGTCAGAGGCTGGCGTCTCGGTGCAGTGACCACAGAAACAGGCCCAGCACCCGGGCCTGGGTTGGAACTGCAGGCCCTTTCCTGGGGTCCCTGGCCGCACTGGCGCTCGGGGCGCTATCTGCTTCGGGAGCCCACACCCCTCTCAGCCTCCTCGTGCCCGGGGCCCCAGCATGCCCCTCCCTGCAAGGGGGTCTCGGCTCCCAGCACCCAACCAGGCAGCTGGCTTGCCTGGACAGCAGCAGGCACAGGCACAGGAGCTGGTCACCACGCCCCATGCCCTCTGAGACAGGGCCAGTGTCCGAGATGCACCCGGGTGGGCAGGCAGCGGCCCCACAGAGCAGAGGCCACCCCGCTCCCAGGTGGCCTGTCTGGGCCGGGCCTCGGGCAGCCCCGGGGGCAGGCAGACCCTCCAGCTGTGTGCGCACAGGCCTTGGGGCGGGGGGCGCAGTGGGCCCGGGGCCATCCCTCCCGGAGGCTTTGGTGCATCTCAAAGAGGCCCTGTCTCCACCTCCCAGGTGACATGCTTACGGGGTGAAGTGGCCCCACGGTGTGCGTGGGGGCTGGAAAGGAGCTTGGGACAGGCGTCCGTAGGCTGCCATCAATGCGGACAGGCACCTCAAATGGGAGGGGCCTCCGTGAGGGGTCCCTGAAAATGCCCCCACAGGGTGCCCTGGGGCGGGGCCGGAAGTCCAGGCAGAGGGCCGGTGGGCAGGGCGGGTGCCCTGGTGGGCAGGGTGTGGCAGACACGCCAGCCTCCCACCCTCTGCAGGCCTGGTGGCCTGCCACGCCTGGAAGTCTAAGGGGTGGCAGGGACCAAGGGGCAGCCGAGACCCGCTCTGCCCGGTGCCCAGTCATCCGGTGCCCTCGGGCCCCGAGGAGAGCCGGGCCTGCTCACCTTCCAAGCTCATGGCGGCCAGCCTCTCCACCGACAGGTGCGACAGGAAGTTCTCCATCCCGTAGAAGAAGAAGCCCTCGCAGCGGCCCAGCAGCTGCTCCCAGTCGGCCTGGCTGTGGGGCAGGGTGCGGTGGGCGGGCGGCCGGCCGGCCGGGGACAGGCGGTGCGGAGCCCCGGGGACACCTCCCTCCGGGGATGAGTGTTTAACGCAGAGACATCCTGCTCGCTCGCTCGGTCTTCCCTCCGCCCCTCGTGGCTGAGATGCACAGAGCCTCGTGCATGTCCTCCCGCGGCCTCTCCTGGCTCTGACTTGGGGTCCCTGGGAGCCGGTGCCAGCCCCTCTCGGGAGAAGGGGCCCCCGTGTCCCTGGCAGGGACCCCCAGCTCACTGGCGTGGCCCTGGGAAGTGCTGGAGGGACACTGCACGCCCAGTCCCCGAGGGCGCCCACTGGACCTGCCCCGGACTGACTGTAGGGCCCTGTGCAGGCACCCGGGCAGCTCCTCCTCTGGGAAATGGGACCCAGGCACCCGAGTGAGAGGAAGGGAAATCAGGGGGTCACAGGGCAGAATGGGGCCTGAGGGAGAGAGGGGGAGACGGGGCGGGGAGGGGCCCAGGAGCAGACTGAGACGGGAAGAGCACCCCCTGGCACAGGGAGCCCCACAGGACCAAGGCCCGGAACCCAGAGCGGACCTGGGGAAGAGCTTCTTTCCCAGATGGCCCACCCATTTCGCGGTGTACGAGTCTTTGTATTTATCCAGAACCTCCCGGGTTACGGAGATAGGCAGCCACGCCACTGCAACGAGAACAGAATGGAGGCAAAACGCAGAGGCTTCGTCACCGCGTGAGCATGGGGGCTGCCAGGCCGGCCTCAGGGGGCACCGGCCGGGGCAGTGTCGCTCACAGGGAGCGGAGACACTGGTCTCCTTCCCCCCTCCCAGAGAGATTTGCAAAACCAGTTTCGCAAAAAAAAAAAAAAAAAAAGGTCCTATATAATAAAAGCATAGTATGCAAATTATCCCCGAGACCGGGAGTTCGACCGGGGGGCGGGCCGGCCAGGGTAAGAGAGAGGACCTGGCCAGCAGCCAGCAGCCACTAGGGACCCTCCCAGTGCACTGGGCCTCCAGTGAAACATTTTCCTAAATCTCAGGATTAAACACGGAGAGCCTGGGGGCAGGAGGCCTGAGAGGAGGAAAGGCGCCCGGACTGCCCTGTGGGGTGGCCGGCCGCGCCCGATGCCGAGGGTGGGGTGTGGCGTGTTCGTGTGTGCCTGCATGTGTGCGTGTTCATGTGTGCGTGCACGTGTGCGTGCATTCAGAGAGGGGAGGGGCCGTGCAACTGCTCACCCGGGCCCTGGGCCTCCTCGAAGGGGTCCGCGACGTCTGGGCTTCGATTAAGCAGAACCAGGACACAGGCTGGTGTGGGGCGGGGAGGGTGGGGGGGGGGGGGGGGGGGGGGGGGGGGGCGGCAAAGGATACACCGGAAGCTGTCCGAGTCGATCAGGATGGCCTCGGGAGGGATGACTCGGGGCGCGCTGCCCTGTGACAAAGGCGGGGTCGTGGGGCCCGGCTCCAGCGGCACCCGGCCCTCCGCCCGGGGCCAGCGGCCTCCCCCTACCTTCCGGCTCTTCTTCCCGGGCCCTTTCCTCTTTAGCTCTTTGCCTTTGGCGCCCTTCTTCGCGGTCCGGTCTGTGGGAGACACGGAAGGAAGCGGTGAGGGCACCGAGAGGCGTCGGACGCCACTCCGCTCGCTTTGGAACGGCCGGTCTGACGTGATGTGAGCGTCACCTCAACACCAAAGCGAGATGTGGGAAGGGCTGTTCCTGTCCCGCTTTCTAATGCGAAAGGGCAGCAGCATCTCAGATGTGAAGACGCAGAGGGCGGGAAAGGCCTGGGGACTCCAGCCTCTCCCTCTGCCTGGCTGCGTGTCGGACGTGGTGGCTGCTGTGGGCGGCTCTGTCCTGGCTTCTCCCCACACTGCCCTGCCCTGCCGCCAGCGGAGACGTGGGGGGCCCTGTGCAGCCCCGGGACTGCCCTGCAGACTCCTGTCACTCTGGGTCCACGGGCTCTGCGGTCCCCCCCGCCAGGCCTCCAGCGTCCGAAAGCCATGGCTTTGTGCCTCTGGCTGGAGTTCTCCTTGTCTCCGGCGGAAGGGCACGCTTGGTCCTTGGGATTTCTTCTTGGAGGGCGGCAACAACCCAATCTCCTTATTTTCTGTTTGACTCCACACTGATGGCCGTGCGGTGCTCCTGCCGAAACCGGCCCCGGGCCCGGCGAGGAGACAGTGTGGCCAAGACCCACCCTGGCAGCACTGGCACACAGCGTGCTCTATGAACCCCTCTCTGATGGCTGTGACCGGAGCTAACGGCCTCGGGTGGTAAAAGTGAGCAGTTCCCTTTCAAAACACACCGCCGGCCGGCCGGCCCGCCCGGCGCCCTCACCTGGCTCCTCCTGGTGGAGGCGGTTGTAGAGCATCTGCAGCGAGAACTCCCGCGACATGGAGTTGATGGCCCCCTCCCGGAGCGTCAGCAGGCCCTCCAGGGGCAGCTCCAGCAGCGGCCTGTCCACAAGCAGGACCACGGTGTCCGCCGCCTCCGTCTCCCCCGGGGGCGGCAGGAAGCTGGCTGCCGGCGGGGCCAACCCTGAGGCAAAAGTCACCGCTGCAGCCACTGCCTGGCACGGCCACACACACACACACACACACACACACACGCACACACGCCCGGCAGGGAGCAGGGCCGGGCATGGGGCCTCTCTCGGGGAGACACAGCGGTCTGGCGGTTCAGCCGGGCCGGCCACAGGGGTGTCGGGTCTCCCGTGGCTCTGGGGACCGGCCCGGCGCAGGCAGGTCCTGGGATGACGTGGCTCCTCCCGACCAGGGAGCCCCCTCCCAAAGGGCGGGCGTTGGCACAGCCCTCTGCTCCCTCGGAGGCCAGAGAGGGGCTGTGGCCTCCAGGGCAGCCCCGTGGAGGGTCCTCTGGAGAAAGGCTTTCCCCGGGGACCGCGGAGCCCGACGAGGAGCCTCGGTCCGAAGCGCACACCACACACGGCCGAGCCCGGACTCCGCCTTAGGAGTGACAACAGGGCCCGGTCCCAGCGCGGCTGGCTCCTCGGACCCAGGGGCGTGAGGGCAGCATCTCAGGCACAGCAGGGGCCTCGGAGCTGGTGTGTGGACGGGACTTGTCTTGGGACCCTCCATCCTCAGGCGGGTGGACGGGCCCCGGGGCGCTTGGGGCGCTCATCTCTGAGGGCCTGCCCCTCGGGCTGCGGGCATCAGCACCCGGCGGGGGTCAGAGTAACTGCCCACTTCCCTCTGCTCAGCAAGTCTTCGTGGGGGGAGAAAAGTAGATGAATGAACTGCCGTTTTTAAAAGAGCAGTTTATGGCTCCGGCCAGTTTGGCTCAGTGGTCAGAGTGTCGGCCTGCGGACCGAGGGTCTCTCGGGCTTGATTCCCGGTCAAGAGCACGTACCTTGGTTGCAGGATAAACTCCTGGCCCAGGTCGGGGGGTGTGCAGGAGGCAACCAATCGATGTCTCTCTCACATCAATGTTTCTCTCTCTCACTCACTCTTCCCTTCCTTCCCCCACTCTTCCACTCTCTCTAAAAATCAATGGAAAGATAGCCTCAGGCATAGATTAAAAAATAAAAATAAAAGAGCTACTTGTGAAATCAGGCACCAGGCGGCACACCCCTAGCACAGGTCAGCACGCCTCCCAGCTGTGGGGACGAGCCATGAGCCCCGAGCACTGGCCGCCCGCAGCTGACCCCGCGGCCAGGTGGACAGAGGTGGCGGGGCACACAGCCTCTGAGACCGTCCCAGCCACCTGCAGTGCCCGGCGCCCGGGGAGACCCTCGGAGGGAGGCCCAACGGCTGTCAACCCCTCGGCTCTCCCAGGTGGGGCGAGTCCCAGCCGGCTTCTGCTTCCCCCACAGCCCCGGAGGTTCCCGGGGCCAATGACTCACCTGGGACCGCGGACTGCTTCCGGTCCTTGTCTTTGCCCTTCGCTTTCCCCAGGTCCCCCATGGTCGGCGAAACGTGCATTCTGAAAGGCACAGGCACACGTTCACATACTCGCACACCTCACCCAGCGGGAGCCTCGGGCACGTCGCTGAGGACCGTTTCCGGTTAACGCAGCACGGCCTCGCGGATGGGGCCGGGGAGCCGCGCCCGGGGCCCTCGCTGACGGCTGCCCGGTCCCAGAGGCCCAGCCCCAGCCCCGCTGCCTGCCCTCCTGCCAGAAACACCCCCGGCAGCCCCTCGCCCTGCGGTCCGCCCACAGCCCAGCAGCCGGTGTGAGAGGACCGGGCCTCTCTGCAGACGGCAGAGGGGACAGAGCCGGGCATCCTGGGGGTGCGGGAATCCTGGGGGTGCGGGCATCCTGGGGGTGCGGGAATCCTGGGGGTGCGGGAATCCTGGGGGTGCAGAGACTCTCAGGAAGCACAGGAGGTGCGAGTTCCCCGTGTGAACGGGAGCGGAAGGAGAGGGAGGTGGCTTCCCGCCCGCCTGCCCGCCCGGCACCAGGCTCCACTGGGTGTGCCCAGCTCAGGCCCCTGACCCCCAGAGGGCACCGGGCACGGGACCTGGGCTCGGGGCAGCGGAGCAGCAGGAGCAGTGGGCGCAGGTAGTCCTCCGTGGCCTGCACGATGTCGCCGATTCTCAGGAAAGGAAACCTCTGCCTCTCCTGTTTCGAGTCTTGTGATTTCTGCCCAAGCCAGACAGCCATGCTCAGAAGGCGCCAGGGGGCCTCAGGGGGTACAACGAGGGGCGCAACCCTGCGGTGGGGGACCCGCAGGGACAGGCCGCTCCGGAACAGCCTGGGGGCCAGGGCCCAGCTCAGCAGCACAGGAAGTGCCGTGGACCGGCCGCCTGCCTTGGGCACCGGAGTCCTGGGGCCCCGTAGACATGCCCAGTGATGGTCAGTTCCTCCCGCAGCCCCTCTTGGGCACCCCAGCCCCACGGGGATCCTCTGCATCACACCACGGAGGTGTCAGCATCAGACTGGGCTCTGGAATTCAAAGAAAAGTTGCCCCCTGTCCAGCAGGGAAGCCGGCCTGGGTGTCCCACAGTGCCTGGTCGGTGCTGCTTAACCGTTGAGGGGGTCCCTGTCCGGCCCCCCCACCACCTTACTGCGGCCAGGCTGGGGTCCCGGTCCCCTGACAGCTGGGCTCGGGGCTGGGGCCTCACCAGGCCGAGGACCAGGGCTCTGTCCTTGTTGCACACCTCAACCTGGCTCTGCTCCCGGAACTTTTGGGTGCTGGCCACCAGGCCGGATAAGGTGGCCGGGTTCACTGCCACCCTCGCCACCTTGCAGGCGTCTGCGGAGACAGACACCGCCGCTGCCCTCGCCCGGCCTCGCAGGCCCGCCCGTGGCCGTGAACCCGTGGCACTCCTGAGCAAACTGCGGGCCCAGGGCTTCTCCACGAGGCTCGCCCGCCTGGGGGCGGACTCCCCGCCCGGCCAGCACTGGAGTGAGGGACCGACCCCCTAAGGCAGGGGGCTGGGCTAGAGGGCAGGGGCCCGAAGGGTTGAGGGAAGAAGGGAAGACAGAAACGAGGCGTTTGAAACGGGCCGAGGCGGCAGGCCCTGCACGGATGTAGCTCGGGCAGCGGCCGGCCCTCTGGCCCCAGGGCCTTCCCCAAGGGGCTGGTCCTGGCCGTGGGCAGAGCCCCGGTCACTGGGATGTTTCAGAGACTGGTGGCCGGGGCTCCCCACTCTGAGATGCCTCCACCAGACTGTGCTGAACCTGCCCAACCCCCCCGGGGGGGGGGGTAGGAATGGAGTGTGGGGTCACCACGCCCACAGGAGGGCCGTGTGTCCGGAGGTGCCTAGCGCCGGGGAAAATAGCTGCTCCGGGAACTCACCCCCGACTTGGACCAACTTCCCTTTGGTCATGGGGATGAACTTGGGTTTCTCGTAGGCAGCACCATACAGAAGGGTCCTGTGAGCAGGAGGGCATGTGCAGGGTCGGGCCAAGCCCAGCCCAGAGGGTCCCAGAGCAGCCCCAAGACGCAGCTTCTGTGAGCCACGTGCACCCCCAGTGGGAGCACCCTCCACACCAGCGCCGGGCGAAGTCAAGATGCAGAATTAAAACAGGCCCGTGCGGACGCCTCGGTGAGCTGTCCGCTGCCTCTGCCCGAGGCTGGGCCAGCCACCCTCTCTCCAGACCAGCCAACTGGTTCTGCCCCACCTAGTGGTGACCCTCAGACACACAGGGCCCCATGAAGGTCAGGAGGTGGCCCGTGGCCTCCAAGACCCGGCTGCGGGTGGGGAGCAGGCATAAGAATAGGAATCGGCCTACCTGTCCGGTGAGTGGTGCAGAGACACAACCCGAAAAGTGGAAGGAATCTCATTTAAGTGGTTAAAATGTTGTTCCGTGACCGAGAGATTCTGCCAAGCCTGTATGACAAGCAGAGGTCAGCGAACCTCAAGCAGGTGGGCTGCTGGCGTCATCATCATCTCTGAAGAGGAGACGTGTCAGCAGGTTGGGATACAGGGGGGCGAGCAGGGTGGCAGCTGGGGGGTTCTGCCTGGGCTGGGGCTGTCAGGAACGCTGCACAACTCATGGCCACCACAAGGGGGCAGCAGGTGCACGCGGATTTACCTGGCTCTTCACGAATAGAAACTCCATCGCATGATCCAAAGCACATGGACGCCCAAAAACCAAAATAGTGCAGCCTCTTCCCTGGGCCTCCTCCCGTGTCCACACCACACACGCAGGCGTGCACGCACACGTGCACAGTCAAGGGCACAGATGCACACGGCTTTGTGTGCACACGCCACCCCGTCCCCTCTCCCTGCCTTCAGCCCTGTGTCCCTCCTTCCAGCTGCCTGCTCTCCTGCACGCCACCCCCTCCCCGCTGAGCTGCCTTCTGCCTTCTGATGAGATGAGCTTCAAGTGTGCAAAAGCTGACCAGGGTTCGAGGGCGTCAGTCACCTTGGAAATGGCAGCCAGCCTCTGCTCCACGCTGGCAAACTGGCTGGTGGAGGTCCGCTCCTGGCGCTTCAGCCTGTTCTCGAGGTGCAGCAGGGCCGCCAGCTGCGAGCTGCTGGTGTTGGCCGTGGCCGTGAGCAGGACGTCCCGCATCATGTCCGAGACTGAGCAGCTCTGGAACAGACCGAGGGAGGTGCGAGGGCCAGGCCCGGCCAGGCCCATGGGGAAGAGGGGCCGGGGCTCAGGGAACCTCAGGAGGACGGCCTCTCCCCTAAGTGAGGGCCGTCCTCCACACAGGCCCCGGCCCTAGCCGGGCCGGCGCTGGCGGAGCCATCAGCGGAGAGGCACGGGGCGCGGGGGCCTCCCTCCCTCCCTCCCTCCCCAAGGCGGCTGGAGGGTGCACGGGGCAGCGCCACACCTGGGACAGCATCAGGAACTGGCAGGTGGCCGTGGGGTCCAGGGTGCCGATGCACTCCACCATCTCCAGGCTGGCGGCCGCCGCTTCCTCCAGGAGGCTGTTGCCCAGGGCGACCTGCAGGCACTGCAGCAGCACCTCGGTGGCCTGGGCCAGGTACTGCTGGGCCAGCGCCTTCCTCCGCTGCAGGCCGGGCACAGGCGCAGGCTCAGCCCAGGCTGGCTCCGCGGGCGGGGCGGGCGGGCGGGCGGGAGCAGCCGTACCTTCAGCTCCGAGCTTTTCCTGCTCCGCTCCTCAGGGGCCGGCATGAAGGCTGGCTGGCTGCTGCCATGCTCCTCGCTGTCCCCATCGTCCGGGGTGATCTCCAGATGCTTGAAGGTGCTGGGCTCTGTTCCCACCTAGGGGACATGCCTCCGTCAGCTGGCCTTTGTCGGGGCACCGCCCAGCCCGGAAGTGCCTGTGGGTCAGGCGACTCTGCAGGATCCCCTGAGAGGGCCCGGCTGGCCGGTGCGGTGGACGGGGAGCAGCTCTGGGGAAGCGAGTCCGGGCGGCACAGGCCTCGATGGGTCGCATGCCGTACCCACCTCCCGTCAGTCCTGGCAACCCAGGCTCCCGGGCCCCAGCGCCCAGCAGCTCTGAGCAGCTGCGACCCAGTGAGTCAGGTGCCCGCCTGCCCCGGGGACTAGGGGACCATGAGACCTGTGCCAGCCTGTCTGGAGAACAGGCCACCAAATGGGGTTCTTTGGGAGGCAGTGGGCCCCAGAGGACTGGGGTTGAGGGGAGGCCTGGGTCTGTGGGGTCATGGGGGGCTGGGGCCGGAGGAACCTGGGCTGGGGAGGAGCTGGATCTGGGTGGGTGGGTTTCTGGGAGTTAGTGCCCGTTTCCCCCGACAGTCCTCCCAGGGGGCTGTTAGCGCCACCTCGTGGACGGGCCCCAGTGTGGACAGGCGTGTGGGTCTGCCTCTACCCCACTGAGCCCGCCTGTGCAGGCACTCAACAAGGGCCAGACTCCTCAGCTTCACCAAAAGCGAGTCCTACCCTAGGTCCCAGGCACAGAGAGCCCACAGGGGCTGACGGGGCCTGTGCCCCAGGCTGGACAGGGAGGCGGGGCCCCAGCTCCAAGTCACACAGGGTGCGGGGCCATCCGCCCGGCCGGAGGGCTCCTCCTGAGGGACGGGGTGCGGGCCGCGCCTGGCTGCACCGGGGTGGAAGGGGGGGGTGCCTGCGTGGCAGCGCTGGCCCCAGGCCCCACTAAGGGGTCGTGTGCTCCCACGGGCGCCCGGCTGCTGGGCAGCCTCGCCAGGGGCTCCAGAGAAGGGGGGCCGCTGGACCACATGGCCGGGGGGCAGGGCTCGGGGCTCACTCGGGCTGCTCTGGACTGTGTGGGTGCAGGGCCCCCGAGCCCAGGCAACTCCAGACTCCGGGCGGAGAGCGGCTGAGGTCGGGGAGGCACCATGAGCCGAGGCCATGTTTGGGGCTGGGACACCCCCCTCCCCGTATGCCCCTCTCCCACCTCCACTTTATAAAGGCACAGACAGCGCTTGTCCGTAGTCTGTTCTCAGAGGTCCCGCTGGCCAGACTGCGTCTTGCCTTCCCTCCCGCCTCCAGCCACACACCCTTCCTAATGAGGACGACCTGAGGCCTGTTTCCCTTCCTGCTCTGAGGGGGTGCAGTTTGAAAGGCTCGGTTTGGTTGTTGGAGCGCGGACGGCGGGCGGGTGCCGGGCTAGCCGCCGGAGCACCTACCAGGAGGCTCTCCTCCCAGTACAAGATGTGGCGCACGGGGTCCGCCTGCACGGCCAGCAGGCGCAGGGCCCTGCCCACCAGGCCCAGGAGCCGCGCGCGGATCTCCACGCAGCTGGCGCTCAGCGGCTGCAGGCTCCCCAGCTGCGCCAGCGCGACGTGGGGCAGCGTCCGCCTCAGCGTGAACCATCTCTTCAACACAAACCGCGTCCGTCAGTCACCCCTCCCGCCCCGCCCGCCAGCGCCCCCGGCCCACCCACCCCCACCCCCCACCCCCCGGCCACCCCGCCCGCCAGCGCCCCCGGCCCACCCCTCCACCCCCCGCCGCCCCGCACGGCCCCGGGAGTGGGGACACAGGAGCCGTCCTGGGGGGGGGGGGGGGTGTCTCCAGCGCTTAGCTTAAGGGAGGGCCGCTGAAGCTTGCATACAGAGCCTCAGGTTAGGGCTCAGGGACAAGCATACGTTCGCGTCAAGTTTCATCCATCTATAGTTTTGTCAAATTTGTTCGATTTGGGATGCGTGAAATCTAAGAAAACGTCTAGAATGGCAGAATGCTTCCTTCGAAACCAACAATTTGCAAATTAAACTTTTTTTTTTTTTTTTTAAACAAAATGTGATTCAAATCATGGGCTTTCTCACACGCTGGCAGAATTGTCAGAGCAAACTCAGAACTCGGGAGGGAGCTCATGTGCCCTGGGTTCATTAGCCAGTGGGGGTCCCTCAGATGATCGGGGCAGGCCCTTCCTCAGTAAGAACGGAGACCCCCAAGCTGTGGGGCCCCCGGGGGCCACAGGGCAGAGGTCTGAGGGGCGTGCGTGGTGAGCTCCGGGCCGGGGTCCCCGGGCAGAGCCCGCACACGGCCGGCGCCCGCGGGCGGCCAGGCGGCCAGGCGGCCAGGCGGCGGCCGTCAGTTACCAGGCCAGTGGCGGAGAGGTCGCTCACGCTCCGCAGGTAGTCGGCCAGCAGCTTCTCCATGGAGTCCTGCCGCAGGTCGTGCTCCAGCGGCTCCTCCCAGAGGAACTGGAACATGTCCAGGTACACGTCCACCAGCTTCAGCTTGAGGTGCGCCAGCCTCCGGGCCAGAGGCGTGGTCACGTTCTGTAACTGGCACGTTCGGGGGCGAGTCAGGCCCGGAGCGCCCGGAGGCCCGGCCGGCGTCCGCGAGCTGCTGTGCGCAGGCATCGCTGACCTGCGTGTTGCTGTGATTTCACGGGCCGGGACCCCCAAAGAGCCATCACCCCCGTGAAAACAGTGACGGCCCCCTCGCCCCACATTCCCTCCCGCCCGCCGCCTCGCTCTCCCCGGCCCCTCCCCCGGAGGCCACGGGGAGCGTGGGCAGCGCAGCGGCCTCTGCGCCGGGGTGGCCCCGGGTCCCGGGCACACACTTACGTCCTGGAGGGCCAGGAGGCTCTGGACGCTGTGCAGCAGCTCCTCCTCCTGGGCCACGGCGCTCTGGGCCAGGTCATAGGCCTCCAGGTAGTACTTGGTCCTCTGCTCCTCGTCCGGCTCCAGCTGGGCGCTTAGCCTTCCCGGGACAGAGATGTCAGGGTGGCGCGCCGCCAGCAGCGACAGAAGGTGCAGGGGGACCGTGCTGCGCGTGCGTTAGTGCTCAGCATGCAATGAGGCGATCTTACACACGCACAGATACTGTCAGCACATCTGAACACGACCGGGTGCAATCGCCTTTCTGTCTTAGGGCGCCTTCCCCCGGGCCCAGTGGGCTCCGCAGAGCCGGCCGCCTGTCCCCTCCTGTCCCCAGGCTGCGTCTGCATTTCTGAATTCCTACGACGACCATCTGACATTCTACACAGGTGCAGGTCGCTCTCCCTCATCAAAGCTGTTTTAACACCTCACACGTGTGTGTCACGGAGCGTGAGGGTGTCCCAGGCGGGAAGGGGGCGTTTCCTGAGGCTGTGCTCACCTCTCTGCGGGGCTGTGTGTGAACACATGTGCGTGCCCCGGGTAGTGTGTACACATGCATGTGCTACATGTCTGCACGTGTGCGATGTGGCTGGATGATGTACGTGGCTGTGTGACCCGCATGCGGACACGGGAGGTGGGCTGCCGCCTGTGGGCGGAGGGGAGGGCTGTGTGGGGAGGGGGTGATGGGCGGTGAGGCGTGTCTGTGTGTTTGCAGAGACTGAGCAGGTGGGACACCAAGGTGGCAGGACAGGAGCGAGGCCACCCGTGACCAGCTTTACTTGAGGGCACCCCAAGAGGCTGCACACCCCCAATGCGGGCGTCCCCAGGGGAGATGCAGGTGGCCACAGGGCAGGGGCCGAGGAAGCCCTATGGGGCCAATGGGGCTGATGACAACGTGACAGGGAGGAAAGCCGGCCACGGGGGGCGGGGGGGGGAGGGGGGGAGAGGAGCGGCAGCACGAGGACCCGAGGATGGAGACGGGCCTGTGCCTCCTCGGCAGGGCCAGCGCCTGGCACGGGGCGCCCGGCACGGGCCTGCAGGAGCCTCCGGGGTCTGCGCCCAGGTGCTCACCTCTTTAGTTTCGACCGCTCCAGCATTATGTCCACACAGTTCTCTTTGTGGCCACAGCTGACAAACTTTCTCTCAATGTCCAACAACTGATCGTACAGCTCGCTCAGCGGAAACGGCAGTTGGGAAGACTCGCCGTCCATCGACTCCCGGGCCACTCGGATCCGGAGCTTCGCGCTCCTGCCGGGCGGGAGGGACACGTGTGGCCGACGTGACACCGGCCGCCGGGACACGGCCAACAGCTCTGGGATGACATCGGCCGTCCCCGGGAGCCACCGGGGCCTCCACCTCGCACCCCGTACCGAGAGGAGCACCTTTTGCTTCTCAAAAACCAGAAGTCGCACAGCCACGTCCTCCAGCACAGACGGTGCAACTAGAGCTCCCCACCCCCCGGCCCAGGAGTCCGTGTGGAAAACCAAGCCCTCCTCCCAGGACTGCATCGGCGAACAGGAACGTGACAAAGAAGAGGCAGGAGACAGAGAAATCCAAAATGAGACAGAATCCCTGCTGCTTTGGCCAATGACGCAAAAAGCGGCCCTTGGACACCGTCAGATGCACGGGATTCGGGGATTCTGAGGTCGGCGAGGAGACGGACAGAGCCCGGGGCGGCCTGGGTAGAGCCATGAGAGAGAGGCCGTGAGCCTCTCTGCCACCGCACCCCCAGAAGGCTGACAGGCTGACAGGCGCTGCTGTTCCAAGTTCCGTCCCCAGAGCATGGGCCGCGGGCCTGGGGTGGTCTCCGGGGGTGGACAGGGGGCTCTGAGCACCAGCCAGAGCAGAGGAGGGGAGGCACCCCACCCCCACCCCCAGCACCCAGCCGGCGGCGCCCGGCCCTCCACCCAGGAGAGGCCCAGGGAGCCCACACACACACACACACACACACACACACGCTCACGGGCAAGGAGAGCCGTTCCCTGAGAAGTTAGGAGCGAGACAAGGCCACCTGCATCTTTGGAAGGAAACACACGCTGCTCCGAGGGGCCCAGAGCCCGAGTGGCCGTGACAGCGCGGTGTTCCTCGGGGTGTGAGGGGCGCACAGTCGCTGGAGAAGGGTGACTGCCTCCCCCCCCCCCCCCCCCCCCCCCCCGCCCTGACCACCTGGCCGCGAGGGCGCTCTCCCGGAAGTCACCTGGCCTCCAGGTCTGTGGCCATTAACTCCAGGATGGGCGCGCGGTTGGGCCGTTGTTTCTTGAGCACCTTGAAGACCTCGATGAGCTTCTGGAACTGCTGGCAGGCCTGGGGGCGCATGCGTGGGCGTCAGCGGGGCCCCAGCCCGAGGCCCTCCCTGCCGCCGAGCACACCGCAGGCCCCTCCTCACCGCCACTTCCTTCCCTTCCTTTTCCACGGACAGGATCGTGTCCGCCAGCGTCAGCGTGGACTGGTACCAGAACTCCTCGCCACCGCCCAGGCGCTGCGCACGCTCTACCATCCTCCGCGCCTGGCCGTAGTTCTTCTCCTTGTTGGCCAGCTGTGCCAGCAGCTGCAGGCACTGGGCTTCTGCGCAGGGATCCTTAAGGTCCTAAGGAAAGACAGACACACACGGAGACAGGATGGGGAAGTGAGCAAGAGAGAGACTGAGACTGAGACAGAGAGACAGAGAGACAGAGAAAAGAGATGGAGAGACAGAGACAGACAGAGACTGAGGGGGAGGGACAGAGGGACAGAGACAGAGAGACAGAGAAAGGAGATGGAGAGGCAGAGACAGAGACTGAGGTGGAGGGACAGAGGGACAGAGACAGAGAGAAAGGAGATGGAGAGACAGAGACAGAGACTGAAGTAGAGGGACAGAGGGACAGAGACAGAGAGACAGAGAAAGGAGATGGAGAGACAGAGGCAGACAGAGACAGGGGGAGGGACAGAGTGACAGAGGGGGACAGACAGGAGTGCAGCAGCTTGGGCTGCATCCAGCACTGGGCGCCTCTCAGACCCAAGGCACCTGTACGCTTGCCCCAGGCTCCTGACCGTGGTCAGAGCCCTGGGAAGCCCCCCTCAGTGGCGGCTCCAGCATGCCCCCCCCCACCCTGGGGCGAGGCTTAAGGGCTCCCCTGAGGCCTCTGGCCCCAGGCTGGGCATTCTGTTCTGATGCCCATCCAGGGCTGCCCGTCTTCCACGCACTGCACATGTCAGGGGTGTGGGTGGGAGGGTGGGCGGGGCCTCCGGGCTGAGCCAGGCTTTGAGGCCCAGAGAGAGCAGCCAGCATGCAGCTCCTAGGCGAACGGGACCTCTCTCATCCTCTCATCCCAACAGCCAGGGCCATGAGGGGCCAGCGCAGGCTCTGGTGTAGCTGCGGTGGGACAGTGGCTGGAGTGGGGAGAGATGAGGTGGGCACAGAGAGGAGGTGGGTATGGAGGCCGGGCACCTGCTCGGAAAGCAGGGACAGCGCCAGAAGCTGGTGGGTGCAGTGGGAGGGACAGCTGGGCTGCTGTGAGGACCCAGGATGGGGGCAGGTGCAGCCTCCCGCAGGAGAGCATGAGGCAGACACCCCGGGAAGACGCCCCCAGACGAGCTCACTTCTGGCTCTGAGTGCCGAGCCTCAGGGCGGAGCCAGAGGAGGGCAGAGCCCCAGACCCTCAGACAGGAGGTGGCTGGGTGACTGGGGGAGTGGGGGGCCCTGGGGAAGAGGCTGAGACACAGAAGCCAAGAGATGCCTGCCCACACCTGTCCCCGTGCCTGAAACTGAGATCGGAACGTCGGGGGGCTTTGCTGGTGGCCCTGAGTCCTCACACGTTTATTAGGGATTTTCCTGTCTCTGGAGTTCTTCACAAGTGACCCTCCCAGGAAATGCACTTCTGAATGCTGGACAGACAGACAGACCACCTGTCTGCGGCATGGACAGCACCTGACGCTGGCGGGAGGGACGCACACCTGAGCCTCCACTCTGTCCTGGATTTTCCCCCAGGACATCTCCTGGTGGGAGGCCCAGCCCAGGAGGAAAGCAGGGGCCCAGCTGGGGAATGAGACCTCAGAGAGGCCGCGCGCGCGCGCACACACACACACACACGCACACACACACGCACACCCCGCACAGGGACAGGTGTGTGCAGGTCTCAGGCTGACCTCCGAGGAGTGAGAACAAGTCCATGGCGGGGGGCTGGACTGGGGTCCCTCCAGGACCTCACCCACACGCATCCCTGAGATCCCAAAAGGACAGAACGGGACCGTGCAATGCAAGAAAGGAACCCACGGCAGCGTGGGAGCAGGCCCTGCAGGAAACTGGTCCGTGGATGTGGGACGACCAGGGAAGCAGACAAAGGCATGGAAGAAACACAGGTGTCCTCAGAGAAACACGCGTGTTCTAGACCCGGAAGACCCCCATCCCGCGTCCACACAGCTGGCGCGGCCAGGGGTGCGTGCGGCGCCCACCTGGAAGGCCTGCTGCGCCTCGGACAGCAGCAGCCGCGCCGGCTGGTACAGCTCCAGGTCCAGCAGCACTTCCGCCTTGAGGGTCCACAGGAGGGGGAAGGACGTGCCTTCTAGGCCTCGCCCAGTCTCCATGTTTATCTTCAGGATCTGCAACACACCGAGCCGGCTCTGCCTCCGCGGTCCATGCCTGTGCCCGACATCCGGAGCCCAGCTCTCCTCCTGGGCACCTGTCTCTTCTCACCCAACCAGCGCCCCCAGCTGCCCGAGCTGGTTCCCGGGCCGGCCCTGCTCCCTCCATGCTCGGCGCGCTGGGCCCCTCTCCTGGCCCAGCGGCACCCTGACCGGCACAGACTGGTCACTGGGCCCCAGCAATTCGGGAAGACCACGAGGGCCCTCCGCCTCCTGGTCAGGTCCCACACAGCCCTCCCCGGCAGGAGCCTGCTCCCCAGGGCCTGTCTGGCGTCTTCCCACCGAGTCTCCAGCATGGTGCTGTGAGTGCTTTCCTAATGGGAGCCCACGGAGGGGAGCCCACGGAGCAGAGGGAGCACGGGAAGTGGTCAGACTCACGGACGCCGTCTGGCTGCGAGGGCCCTGCCTTCCCAGCCCCATGCTCTGCGCCCCTCAGTCTGCACCCCTCAACCTGCACCCCTCAGCCTGCACCCCTCAGCCTGCACCCCTCAGCCTGCACCGCTCAGTCTGCACCCCTCAGCCTGCACCGCTCAGTCTGCACCCCTCAGCCTGCACCCCTCAGCCTGCACCCCTCAGTCTGCACCCCTCAGCCTGCACCCCTCAGCCTGCACCGCTCAGCCTGCACCCCTCAGTCTGCACCCCTCAGCCTGCACCGCTTAGTCTGCACCGCTCAGTCTGCACCCCTCAGCCTGCACCCCTCAGCCTGCACCCCTCAGCCTGCACCGCTCAGTCTGCACCGCTCAGCCTGCACCCCTCAGCCTGCACCGCTCAGTCTGCACCGCTCAGTCTGCACCCCTCAGCCTGCACCGCTCAGTCTGCACCCCTCAGCCTGCACCGCTCAGTCTGCACCGCTCAGTCTGCACCCCTCAGCCTGCACCCCTCAGCCTGCACCCCTCAGCCTGCACCGCTCAGCCTGCACCGCTCAGCCTGCACCCCTCAGCCTGCACCGCTCAGCCTGCACCGCTCAGCCTGCACCCCTCAGCCTGCACCCCTCAGCCTGCACCGCTCAGCCTGCACCGCTCAGCCTGCACCCCTCAGTCTGCACCCCTCAGCCTGCACCGCTCAGCCTGCACCCCTCAGTCTGCACCCCTCAGCCTGCACCCCTCAGCCTGCACCGCTCAGTCTGCACCGCTCAGTGCCACCCAGGCTGTCTTCCCTGAGTCGCTGCTTGCCCACCAGGTTGGTTGGTCTGTGGTCTCGTCTTCCCCGGGGACCACCATGGAGGGGGCACGCGCCACCCGTCCCTGGCGTTCCCAGGACACGGGCACATGGGGCTGTGGGTGCAGCGCTGCCCGGCCCCCGGGCCCCTCAGCGGGCAGGCGGAGCCCAGCTACCTGGTCCTTGGCCACAAGGGGCCGCACCTCCCCTGGCGGCGTGGCGGGCGCGGGCACCGCCTGCTGGCTTCCTTCCAGCAGCGGCTCCCGGGTCTTCTCCTTCCGCAGGGCGAGCTCCTTCCTGCAGCTGGCGTGGGAATGGCAGCGTGCTGCAGCCCGCCCAGGGGCCAGGGCACGCCCGGCCGTGCTCCGCCCACCGGCCAGCAACGCGCCTCGGCGCCCAACGCCTGCAAGAGGCCGCTGTCCTCCCGCGTGCTGGCAGAGATTTCTAAAACCCCCACCAGTTAGCAGCCCCGCGCTGGACTCCAAACCCAAGCTTCCCGCCCGTTCCCTCTCCCACTCCAGACCCAAGCGTCCAGCTGTGGGCCTGCCTCGCGCCCTGGACGTCCAGACGGAGCTCCGCCCGCCGGGACGGGCGAGGCTCCTGTCCGGGCCGCCTCGCCCGCATGCCCTCCGCGTGCCCGCTGCCCTCACCTTCGCCTTCACCCTGCACCCAGACCCGTGAACCATCCCGGTCCCGTGTCTCCCCTCCCCTCACACTGTCCAGCCTGGGAGATGCCGGCGCACAGGAGGGTCAGTAAGTAAGAAGCTGCACCCAGCGGAGCGCCCAGACTCTGATTCCCTGAGCTCTGTACCCCTGGGTCCTCCCAGCACCCACTGCCCGGGCGTGCTGGCTGGGCCCTGGCAGACGCACCTGGACTGCTCCGCGTCCCCGAAGTAGGCCTGCCCCACCGCGTCCTCGTGGAGGGCAGCTGCTTCTCTTAGCTTCAGCTCGGAGCAGACCAGGGCGAGCCTGGGGGGGGCGGGGGAGGCAGGAGCTGTTACAATGGCACGCAGGCACGCCGGCTGCACTGCGCCCCCGAAAGAAACGCATAACTGGGTGGTATTTTCAATAATTTTTCAAACTGAACAGAGTTACTAGGGAAAAGGAAGAGGTGGCTCTATCCAGTGTCAGGAATAAAAACACTGACACATTCATGAATGTCTTTGTCGGTTCCCATGAATGCAGGTTCCCAGTCTTGGGGCCGCCCTGTCCGAGGGGCGGACAAGGCAGCCTGGGCGGCACCCTGACCGCCCATCACCGCCGTGCGCTGCGTCAGTCCTTCTGAGAAACGGTTTACAACACGCTACAGAGGTACATTGACATGCAATGTCACTTTAGCTTCAGGCATGACGTGGTGGTTTGACACTGATGTTCCTTATGATGTGACCACCTCCCTAGTCACACAACCAGCCATCTGTCACTATGCAAAGTTGCTGTTTATTTTTATTTTTATTTTAGCTAATCCTCACCTGAGAATATTTTTTCCACTGATTTCTAGAGAGAGTAGAAGGGAGGGGGGAGGGGAGAGAGAAAGAAAAGGGGAAAGAGAGAAAGAGAGAGAGAGGTAGAGGTAGAGAGAGAGAGAGAGAGAGAGAGAGAAACACTGAAACACTGATGTAAGAGAGACATAGCTTGGTTGCCTCCCACACACAGCCTGACCAGGGCCTGGGATTGAACCTGTGATCCAGGTACGTGTCCCTGACCAGGAATCGAACCCCTCGGTGGGAGGACTGATGCTCTGACCACTGAGCACACCAGCCAGGGCAGTTGCTGTATATATATATTTTTTTTAAAAATATATATTTTATTGATTTTTAACAGAGAGGAAGAGAGAGGGACAGAGAATTAGAAACATCGATGAGAGAGAATCATCGATCAGCTGCCTCTTGGTACATGCCCTTGACCGGAATCGAACCCGGGACCTTTCAGTCCACAGGCCGACGCTCTATCCACTGAGCCACACTGGTTTCGGCTGCTGTGTATGCTGAAGGGATCTGAAGCCGCAGAGAGGCCGCACGAACCCTACAGCGATTCCCTGGGAGGGAGGCGGGGCCACCGACCGGAGGTGGTAGAGGTCTTTGAGGCTCTTGCTGTCCACCACGCAGGCGCAGATCAGGACGCCCAGCTGCAGCACCGGGAGGGTGAGCTCGTGGAGGAACGCCTTCTGCAGGGCCTCGGCCAGACGGTCCAGGAAATACAGGGTGTACGTCTGCACAAACACACGGCACACACGGGAGGTCGGCCCGCGTGCTCACAGAGAGCGCTGTCCTCCACGCAGAGCACACCCCGCAGAGCCGGGGGGAGCCCCCAGGCCTGCCCCCACAGGACCCTCAAGGTCACACACGAGGGACTCCACTTTTTAAAGCACAAGAAACACGCAGAATCACGTGGGCGGAACGAGGCCCCCAAAGTCTCCAGGTGCTCCCCCCGCCCCCGCATTCCCCCCTCAGGACCTGTGCGTGTGACTTCCCGTGGCTAAAGGTTAAAGGACTGTGCGGGGCTGATCAGACAGGGTCCGAGGAGGGAGATGGCCCGGGTGTGGTCACACGGGTCCTCGGAAGTGGAGGCAGAGGCAGCACTTCCCCGAGGCCGGCCCCTCCGCGCGCTTCCCCGCGGGCACGGCTCCCACGGAAGCCTCGGCCCCCGGCCCACGCACCGGCCTCTGGATGCTGGCCGTGTTCACGGTGAGGCTGCTCCGGTCCTGTCTGAAGAAGGCTACCACCTCCTCCGGGCACACGTAGGCGGCCCAGGCCTCCACGCTCGCGGGGGGCTCTTCCACCTCTTTGCCGGAGAGCGGGGTTTGGCCCTGGGAGGCAGGAGCGGAGCTGAGAGTCCAGGGGGGAGCCAGGGGGGAGCCGGGAGGGCGTGTGCGGAGCCACATCTGATTTTACGTCCAAAACCCGATGGGACGTCCCTCCCTCCTGGGAGAGCGTGACGTAGGCTCTCTGGCCCATGTGCTGCCACTGGTGCCGTCACACAGCCTCACTCAGCAAGAGCCCAGCTCTGAGGGGCAGAGCAGCCGGGACAATGCCAGGCGGTGGCAGGAGCACGGCCATGTGGACGGGCAGATGCTCAGGTGAAAGGTCAGGGGGGGAGGGGGACAGCCCCCTGCAATGGGAAAACCAATGCCCCTCCCACCCATAACCAGGACCCAGAGGTGCCTGGGGGTCACCTTGCAGGGCCTTTGATCTGAGACTGCTCTGGCGTGGGATAAACTCCAGGGAGAAGCCAGACACCCCACATCCCACCTCCCATTACAGTCCTAGCTCCCCAGGTGTAAGAGAGAGAGAGAGAGAGAGAGAGAGAGAGAGAGAGAGAGAGAGAGAGAATCACTGCCTCCTTTCTGCAGAGAAGGAAACTGAGGCACAGCCTGGGGCGCCGAGCAGTGTCGCCGGGGCTGGCCCCCGCTGTGCTGCCTGCACCTCTGAGAAAGGCGTTACCTGCCTGCCGTCTTTGCTCTTCTCTCTGTCTCTGTCCTTGGCCCTCTCCCTCTCCTTCTTAGACAGCAACAAATTGGAACTGGCTGTTGCGGGGACTTTATTTTCTGAGAATGACTTTTTTGCTGCTAACAAAGAAATCTGGGGAAATGAAATTAAAATCGGCAGCATTAAGAACAGACACCAGTTCTCACCTTCCTCCTAGACTAGGGGTGTCGAACTCAATCAGAGAAGGGGCCAAAATCTAAAATCCAGCCTAAATCGCAGGCCGAATGGTTTACTGAACAGTCATAAACTGTTATTGTGATGGAAACGCAGCGGAGTGCAGTGATGACAGCGCGGTGCGGGCCACATTGCAAGGCCTGGCGGGACGGATTTGGCCCGCGGGCCTTGTGTTTGACACATGTGTCCTAGACACTCGGATCCCAGGGACAGGCCAGCCTGCCATGGCCTGGCCAGTGAGCCGGGTGGGACACTCGGGGCCTCCTGGGCACGTGGGGCTTCCCCTCAGGGCCAGCAGGGACACGGGGTGAGGGCGATCCCTGACCATGAACCACACCAGGGTCCCCCAAAGGGTCTCACAGAATCCTGGGCGGGGCAGGGCGGGGCGGGGCGGGGAGTCCTTCCCGTTCTTCCTGCAGCCCAGGGGCAGGACGGGGCCTGGGCACATTGCCCTCGTAAACAAGGCCTGTCTGGACTGAGCTGCCTGCGGGGGGCACTGCCCCAGGAGGTCCCCAACAACACAAGGCCACCCGGAGCTGCTGGGAAGGGGGGTGTACAGGGGTGGGGGACGGGGTGCATGGGTAGGGAGAAGATTCTGGAAGCCCAGAAGCAGGGGCTGCTGATGGTCTGAACGAAACAGGCTTCGACCGACTGCCCACTGCCCACAGCAGTGTGGGTGACCCTGGCAGGAAGGGGTTTCAGAGAGGGGCCGACTGGAGGATGCAGCAGACGGAGTGAAGGGGACAGGGACAGGGCTCCCGGGAGACACGCTGCGCACATCTTGGTCTTTAAAAAAATTACTCACACACACACACACACTAGGAGCCCACGGCGCGATTCAAAAATCGTGTGGCCCCGCCCACCCTGGAGTCGCCCTGCCTCCCTCTCGGCCTTTGAAGCAGCCCGGCCGTGTGTGCAACCTCCTCCTGTCCTGTCCACCGGTAACGGCATCCCAGTTAATTAGCATATTTCTCTGTTATATACACTGAGTGGCCAGATTACTATGATCTCTGAATGCATAATAATTTGGCTACTCAATGTGTGTGTGTGTGTGTGTGTGTGTGTGTGTGTGTGTGTATGAGGCCTGGTGCATGAATTTGTGCATGGGTGGTGTCTGGCCAGCCTGGCCAGGGGGCAGGGACATGAGCAATTGGTGGCCTGCCTGCTGGTTGAACTTCTGGTTGAGGAAATAATTTGCATATTAGCCTTTTATTATATAGGATATACAGTGAGTGGCCAGATTATTATGGGTTCAGAGGTCATCATAATCTGGCCACTCAGTGTATATAGATAACTTCATTGATTTTAGGAGAGGAGGAAAGAGACAGAAACATCAGTGATGAGAGAGAATCATTGATTGGCTGCCTCCTGCACACCCCCCAGTGGGGATTGAAGCCTGGGCATATGTCCCTGGCTGGAACTGAACCGGGGACCCTGCAGTCCGCAGGCCAACGCTCTATCCACTGAGCCACACCAGCTAAGGCACATCCGGGCTTTGGAGAATCTTTGGAAGCAGCAAAACTGAGCACCAGCCCGGTCCCCGGAGGAGCAGTGCCCGCCCCGCGGCCCGCCCACCTGCCAGATGTGCCGGAGGAAGGCGTAGGCCATGAGGCAGTAGTCCTGGTAGGCGGCGGCACTCGGGGTGGCCGTCAGGGCCAGCAGGATGTGGGCGCGGGCCAGCGCCTCCAGCTGCCTCACGTTCTGCAGCTTCTCCATGGAAACCATCCCCACGTTCTCAGACTCCAGCCTCTCCGGGGGCATCTGCACGAACGAAGTCTCTCCTGGAAGAGAGGGCGCCCAGACCCGTGTCCGCAGCCGTGGCCACGCCCTCGCCGCCCTTCTCCCAGGCCCCCGGGGTCAGAGGGCAGAGTCCTTTTCCAGAAGGAGCACCCAGCACTGGCCGGTTTGGCTCCGAGGATAGGGTGTCAGCCTGCGGACCGAAGGGTCCCGGGTTCTACTCTGGTCAGGCTGCAGGCTCCTCCCTGGCCCAGGCCCTGATCGGGGCTCATGCAGGAGGCAACCCATCAGTGGGCTTCTCTCCCATCGATGTTTCTCTCTGTCTTTCCTCTCTCTTCCACTCTCTCTAAAAATCAATGGGAAAATATCCTCAGGTGAGGATAAAAAAACAGACAGACAAACAAACAAAAAGCAGAAGGCGTGCCCAGCATGCAGGGCCAGGGCTTCTCCCCCGAAGGGAGCCGGCAGGCCCAACTTCTGCGGCCATGGCCAGGCTGAGAGGAGACAGCGGGCCCAGGCCCAGGGCAAGGGGTAGCTGCTGGCCTCTGCGGTTCTGGAGTCAATTTTGGGGTTGGGAGCGAGGGAACCGCCCCTCTGCGGGTCACCCTGGTTGGTCTGAGCTTGCCCTGACGGGGGCTCGGCGTCCAGGGGACGAGTCCACGTGCTTCTAGTGCAGACAGGGGGTGCCCTTTTCCAGGGCCCCCGAATCTGCAGGCCAGGATGGAGGCTGCTTCAGTGCTGCAGCCCAGCCCGGGGGGGCATCCTGCGACCTGTCTGTGGGAGGCCGTTCCCCTTTGTGGATGAGAGCACTCTTGATGGAGCAGGACCCAGAGCCGGAGCCCAGCAGCCACCCGGCCGCTCCACGCTGTGTCTGCTGGGTGTGGCCACTGTCCTTCTGCAGGTGGCCTGTGGTGGCCCCGGTAGCCACTGCTCACCTGCCCCAGGCCCTGGGTCCTCAGGTGGCCCTCAGCCTTGCTGACAGCAGGGGCTCAGGACCAGCCTAGGCAGGGGGAGGGGGCGGAGGAGGTAGGGGGGAGGGATGCGGGGAAGGAGGCCCGACCTGCCAGAGCCTCTGGAAACGCGGGGCCTGTGGGTGGGCGGCCCTGGTGAGGCTGTAGGAGCCCCATCTCTCTCCAGCCCACAGGCTCCTGGCACACGTCATGCTCCCCACAGAGCAGGCTCCTGTGCTTGGGGTCACCCTCAGTTCCCCACACAGCCCAGGAGAGGCCTCTCCCACAGGACGGGGACTGGTTTCTCCAAAACGCTGCTGCCTCCAGGAAGGGTCCTGGGGCAGGCCTGGCCTCCCCCAGATCTGCCACATGGAGCGCCCGCAGTTCGTAAGTCCTCCCGCCACCCGCCAAGGTTGTGGCGACAGTGAGGCTGTCCAGGCTTCCCACCATCAGCACCCTGCTCAGCAAACTCCACCTCTGACCCCAAGCCAGACCCCTCTGTGGCCTCCACACACTGTCGTGGCCAAGCAGCCTTGGGGTGGCCTGGGGCTGGCTCCCCTTTACCCCTGAAGGCCCGCTCTCTGCACCAGAGACAGTGGGAGGGACAGCGGGAGGGACAGCGGGAGGGACAGCGGGCCTGGGAGCCGTCCCCGGCCACGTCGCCTCACCTGCAGGCTCAGGTGTGTCCCGGGCAGGCTTCATGCCCAGCAGGATGTCGGTGGCCCAGTTCAGGTGGAAGATCACGTCCTCGATGGGGAACTGCTGGTAGTACAGCCACTCGCTGAACTCCATGATGAGGTCCACTTTGTGCCACGCGCTCTCCGGCTTCTTCGGGGTTAAACAGAAAAGGGGTGGGACGCTGCGCCCCCACTCAGCACCCGGAGACGGCACCCAGCCACAGTCTGGGACACCATCAGTTTGGTGCTTCACTTTCTAGAAGCAAATGGTTCGTTCTCACCCTGTGGTCATCCCAGCGAGACTCATCCGGCCGTCCAGGCTCACCATGGCCGCCCAGGGGCCAAGAGACGGTGTCCATGTGCAACAAGTAGCGAGACTAGAGCCTGGCAAAGCCCCCGCAGGCCCCTGAACCCTGAGGACACCCACAGCCCAGCCCAGTGCCCCTGCCCCTGCGTGCCCCGCCTGCCCGGAGCAGGTTGCCCACCACGCCGGCCTCGACTAGCCCCTGGCATCCCTCTCCCAGCCTGCCTCCTCCAGCGCGGGCTGAATGTGCCTGTGAGGCTTTATCGGGGTGCTTCTGTGGTTAACCGGGCTTTGGAGGGCAGAGAAGGTGCCCTTCCCAGCATGCAGCCCCAGGGTCGGGCCGTGCACAAATGGCCAGAAACTGCTGCACAACAGAAAGAAGGCTCCAGCCAGCAGGTGGCGTCCGGCCTCCCACTTACCCGGCCGCCCTCATCCCCACACTCTTCCTCCCACAGCTCACAGGTGGAGGGGCTGCGGTGGGTTCTGAAGGTCGGGAAGGCAGGGAGGAGGAAGGTGTGGAGCTGCAGGGGGTTGGGGAATGCTGGGCTAATGCAGGTGAGATGGAAGGAAGAGTGGAAGGGCAGCAGGACATTCAAGGTCAGAGTGGAGGGAAGTCTCTCAGCAGAATCAGCACAGAGGCGGCTGTTAGCCCAGGTCACTGACTGAGGTCACCAGGTGTGGGGACTCTGGGTAGGAAGGGCCCTGGGTAGGGAGGCGGAGGGGGGCAGGGAAGGAGGCCCCAGACACAGGAGCAGTAGGGAGGGGGCTTGGCAGGCAAAGGAAGGAAGTCCCCAGTGGGGCAGACAGCCAGATGCCCCCGGGCAGTGACTGGGACCCGGACTCCTACACCAGCAACTTGTCCCTCCACCCTGGAAAGGGCGAGGAGAGACAACGGTCTGCTGCCCTTGACGTGTGAGTGAAGAACCGCTGTCACTCCTCCCTCCATCCCCCTATCACCTCCAGGACTGACCGGGGCCACACCTGCAAGGCCTGGATTGCATTCTGGTAGCAGGTCAGCTCCCCGTAGAGGTTCTTGGAGTTCAAAGCCAGGCGGTGCCACATGTGAGCCAGATAATCCTCGCTCTCGTCTTTAAACTTCTGGATTTCCATGGTAAAGTTCTGGCCGAGTTTGGCCTTCACGATGACCATGTGCTTGAATATCAAGCTAAAGGGATGTGAAAGAGCAATTATTTCTGGAGTCCAAGGACAAAAACTTAACTGTATAATTCCCCCAACCCGGAAGTATTGGTCCATTTCCCTACTTACAAAGATAAAGGAAAACGGTGCCTGAGTTACCTGGGCTTTTGTGCTGTGGTCTATTTTTTTAATTTATTTTTTAAATTTATTACTTTTGTGTGGCCGTTATGTCCTAAATCCCTACCTTTCCAGTGTTGGGCTCTTCGTGGAGAAAAGTCGTCAGAAAGGGAGAGTGGGGGAGGCCCTGAGGGGTGGGCTGTGAAGGCACCGGGCCGCGGGGGGCCTGGCAGGGGGTCCGGTCGCCGTGGGAGGTGGGGGGCACTCACAGGCGGTGTGCCGTCCGCGGCAGCATCTGCACGGCCTCGTCCAGCACCTTCAGGCCGCCCTCCCAGTCCTCGTTGTCGGCGTAGCAGTGGAACAGCAGCCCGTAGAGCGCGGCCCGCAGGGACAGGTCATCATCGGCCTCTGCGGGGACAGGGCTCCGGGCTGCAGGGACCAGGGCTGGGACAGGCGTCCCCCCGCCCCACTGCCTCCCCTGGGGGCCACGGGACAGATGGGGCCTCCCATGGGGGCCATGGGGAGAATGGGGCCTCCCCTGGAGGCCATGGGGCGGATGGGGCCTCCCCTGGGGGCCATGGGGCGGATGGAGCCTCCCCTGGAGGCCACGGGGAGAATGGGGCCTCCCCTGGAGGCCATGGGGCGGATGGGGCCTCCCCTGGGGGCCATAGGGCAGATGGAGCCTCCCCTGGGAGCCATGGGGCGGATGGAGCCTCCCCTGGGAGCCATGGGGCGGATGGGGCCTCCCCTGGAGGCCACAGGGAGAATGGGGCCTCCTTTAGGGCTGAGCACAGCAGACTCTCCCCCAGCCCCCCACCACCACCTCTGTTATGGGAGCTCCTTGCAGCTGCCCAACCCAGCGCACGTTTCCTCAGTGCTGACCATTTCATGTTATGCATTTTCTTTATTCTCATTGTTTAAATTTTCATGTATTTGAAATTGTGCCTCTTTGACCACTTTAACGTTTAGGAAATAATATTCCCACAAAAATCTCTTGCTTTGCTCCATTCCACTTTCTGTGTTTTGCTAGAGTTTGAATTTTAAAACTGCGACTCCATTTAAGCTGTGTGACGTTTTTCAGCGCACAGAGCACTGTGGCCGTGACGGGCCACGCGGGCTGGCTCTCCCCCGGGGCTCCTGGGTGACGCTGCTCGCCGCCCCGAGGGCTGCCACCGGCATCTCTCTCGGCAGCACCGCCAGCCGTGTAACTGTCGGGGTTTAGATTGACTTGGTGCTTAGCTGCCGGCGGTCACATTCTGTGTAAGTCACGTGTGTGTCTCTGACTCACATCCTGAGCACACACGAGGACTCGTACACTAACAGGGATGGTGAATTAGCAGATATCACTTCTTCCTTTAAATGTGGACTCTAGATATGATTTTCATTGTTCTAAGATCGGTATTTTTTTAGGAAGTTGAATGATTCACCCATCAGAACAACCCAGAGGCTAGCTGTCCAGGCGGCCTGGGCGGCCTGTATGGACCGAGCCCCAGACAAGGGGACCATCAGGCCTCGGCTCCCTATGCACTCGGGACCTCAGGAGGCCGTTCATGAAAGGCAGTGGCAGTGCCCGTCACAGCCTGACGGCTGGCAGACGCCGCCCGAGGTTCCAGCCACGGTCACGCTGGCCTCACAGAAGGGCGGGAACTGAGGTGCAGCGTCTCCCGTCCCGTCCCGTCCCGTCCCGTCCCGCGTGGGGCGGCCGGGGCGGCACACCTGGGAGGAAGGAGCCCTGGGAGGTGCCTCCGCTCTGCAGGTCCGCCGTCGGCCACTGGTGCAGGAGCTGTACTTCCTGTCTCTCCTGAGGCAGAACCGACAAGACATGCCCTCAAAAGCTGTCGCTTATTCCTTCATTCCTTTGTGCTTCGTCTGCCTCCGCATCGAAGGACAGAAATTGCAGCTAAATTTCTAAGACACTGAGTCACTTTCCTCCCACGAGAAAGGCTGTCCAGCACAAGGTCGGCCGCGTGGGTGCCACACAGGCCTCCCCGGTCCACAGCTTCCTCCGTGACAAGGCGTCCAAGTCACTCCTGTCACTTTAAATCCGGGGGATCAAAGCACATTGGGGAAAAACAGTGAGGCGCACAAACGCTCCAAATGTCTATACTAGTCCCTTAGACCCCAAAGAACTAGAAAAAGAGCAAACTAAACCCAAAATAGCGGTGAGAAGGAAATAATAACAATGAGAGCAGAGATCAAGATAACGCAGAATAGAAAAACAAAGAGAATGAATGAAACCAAAAGTTGGCTCTCTGAGAGATTAATGAAATTGACAAACTCTTAACTAGACTGACAATGGAAAAAAAAGAAAAGGCACAAACACTTAAAATCAGACATTCCTATCAAGCCCGGAGGGACGGAACGGATTATAACAGAGAGTCCGACAGCCAATTGTACGCCAACGAATTAGACAGCCTAGGAGACATGGAAGAGCCCCAAGAGCACATATGTCACCTAAGCTAACACAGAAAGAAATAGGAAATCTCCACAGACTTCTAACACGCAGGGATTGAACCAGTAACCAGAAGCCTCCCAATAAAGCAAGTCCTGGACCAAATGGATCCAGAGGTGAATTCCACCAAACATTTAAATACTTGGCTTCAATCCTCCTCAACTCAAAAAAATCGAAAAGGAGGAAACACTTCCTGATGCATCCATCCTATGGGACTGGGATTATTTTGAGAGGAAATCAAGATAAAGGAATCACAAGAAAATTATAGACCAATATTCTTACAAATATGAGAGCTTTCCAGGAAAGGGCCAAGGTCTCTGGGAGGGAGGGAGGGTGCAGAAGGGCGTGGGGGGGGGGAGGGAGTCAGAACTAAGCCTTGAGCTCAGACAGGGGCCACCCCCACGTGAGCAGCTCCAGGGTCTGCCTTTCCTTGGGAGCCCCATCCCCTCCCCTGGAGGAGGAGCCTGAGAGGCAGTGCGGACCGGAAGCCGGCCGGGAGCACCTGGCTTTTGGCCTCCGTCTTGTTGATGATGTTGACGATGCCCTGGATGGTGTGCCTGGCCTTCTTCCTGTTGGCCGCGGAGGTCAGGAGCGGGAGCTGGGTGTTCCAGTAGTGCCGTGCGGCCAGCATCGCCAGGGCGCTGTTCTGCGCGGTGCCCGCGAACCTGGAAGGGGGGCCTGACCAGCGAGCTACAGACACGCAAGCCCCCACCGGAAGCCCCTGGGGCCTCAGGGGCAGGGCGAGCCCAGTGTCTGCCTGGAGCCTGCGCTCACGTCTGCAGGACATGCCCCTGGGGGCCCCGGCTGAGACTCTCCTGCGCCATAGCCCCTGCCTTGCCACGGGGTCTGAGGGAGGGCCGGCTGCCCGTGACAGTCCCTACTGCGTGTCATGCTCCTCGTTTCAGGCACTGCAGCTGCCAGGTATCTCCCAGTCCCACCACACACGCAATTCGCTCAGCCGCAGAGCAGCGGCGCACCTCACGCTCTCCGCGAAGGCCTTGCTGGCTGCCAGGCGCAGCTGCTTCCGCCCCTTCAGGTTCTCCATGATGCTCCGGCCCCGGATGCAGGCGCTGGTGCTCAGCATTTCTGCCATCAGCTGCGCCTGGGTCCTGCGGACAGAGACGCCTCAGCACACAGGAGGGCGGCGGGGGGAGGGAGGGGTACGGGAAGGTGAGTGAGCCCGGGAGACAGCACATCCGGGGTCGCCCACCGGGAGTCAGGCGTCGGAGGCTACTCACGGACTGGACATCCTCAGGTACTTAACGCCCATCTGGATGACCTTCTGTGTGCACGCCATGGTGACCTCGTGGTCGTGGGCTGTGTAGGCAAAGTGGCTCAGGCGGGCCAGCGTCTGCAGCTGGACCAGGGGGTCCGTCCAGTTGCACTCGGAGACCATCTTCAGCAGCTGTGCGGAGGGCGGGGGGAGGGCGTTCTGTGCGGGGTGACCCCTCCGCCCACCGTGGTGGGTGCTGTCAGCTGGGGGCTGCTTCATCTGCTGGAACCCTGCCCCTCGCTGTGGCTTATGGAGGGAGCTGATTCCAGAGACCCGGTGGGTAAAGGGCCATCCCACGCAAACACCTCCGAGGCCGAGTTACCGCATCACTAGTCGTGAACTTGGGCCCCGGCTCGGGCTCAGGGTGGCCTGTTGGGGAGCAGTTGCCCCGGTGTCCACGCTGCCTCAGTATCCCCAGAAGCACCCTGTTCCACATGGAGCCACAGGGGGACCTCAGGGGGAAGGTGCCGAGTGACACTGAACTCAGGCGCCCTGAGGGGGACCACAGGCGCTGGTGAGCGCGTGGTCACTCAGGCAGGCCAGGTTCCAGTGCTGGCCACCCTCGGCAAGGCCCTCGGACCCCGGCTCTGCCTCTGGGCAGCAGGATTTGAACATGTGGCCTCAGGTGGGGGGATTCTGTCTGGCGTGCCAACAGGACACCTGGTGGTGACCACCTGGGCCTCGGGGGCACGTGACTCCTAGGGGAGGTGATGCCTGAGGAAGGAGGTGGCACCTACCTGAGACAGGGGGGTCACGGTGAAGTCCATGAGGCCCAGCCCGTTGCAGGAATACATCTCCAGGGCGACCAGGATTCTGGTCACGGAGTTGATGTCCTCGTTGGTGCCCTGCGGAAGGAAGCATGGGGTGTCCGTGCGTCCAGGGGGCCCAGAGAGGGTCTGGGACATACCCTGTGAAATGCCAGCTCCGCGGCAGCCATCAGAGCTATCTGTATAAAAGTTTGTCTCCGGTGGCCTTCCCACACCCTCGGGAGGCAGGAAGTGGCGCAGAGTGGTCAGACGGCTGGGCTGACGGGCTGCAGGTGGAGGGCAGGCCTCCAGCAGAGCGGGAATGGCCTTCCTTCCGTCCCCCTCCAATCGGCGCTCGATCCTGGCCGCTCAGATGCCCACCCTCACTGACTCTCCGGTCTCCCTCTCCACCTGTCCCGTGCCCGCTGGCTCCCGGCAGTGCCCCTGGGAGGCTCCCTCTGCAGCCACACATCCATCTCCGCTCCGGTCCCCACTTGCTCCCCCAGCCCCCACGCCCACAGCCTGTGCTCACAGCTCAGGGTGCCCTGATATCTTGCCAAAGCAGGCCCCCTGTGGCCGGAATGCACCTCCGAATGAGGCCACGGTGAGCGTCGCTGAGGGTGGATAGCACCCTAGGGGCCCAGTGGCTCGGTGGACATTTAGGAGCGTGACCAGTGGGCTGGGGGAAGGGGAGACACCACGGCCTGGGCAGTGACTTCACGGAGGGAAGCACCCTGGACAGGAGGGCACGGCCAGCTGTGCGCCGCCCTCCAGGCCGGCGAGGCCCCAGGGGAGGGAGACGGGGGAGGCAGCGCCCGCAGTGCACCTCCTCCGGGCCCAGCTTCGTCCCGATCTGCTGCTGCAGCAGCTGCTTGGCCTTCACCCAGGCGGCGATGAGCTGCTGCCGGGCCTCGATGGGCACCACCTCCTCGGGCACCGTCCCGTTGGTCAGGTTCAGGGCAAACTCGCACACCTGGAATGAAGGTGTCCTTGTCCATCAAACCGGGACTCCACATGGAGAAACCTGAGCTGAGACCCACATCATTAACCGTACGCGGGCCCGGCTCTTGGTGCAGACGGCAACCGAGGCTTAAACGCCTGCCAAGCCTGGGCCCGTCCAGAGTGGCCGGGAGCTGTGATCTCAGCGTGAGGCTCGCCCTCCTGCTCCCTCACCCCGCTGGCATGCCCGGGGCTCCTCATGCCTCTCTCTCCGAGGGCACCCCACCTCCTCGCCCCTCGGGGCAGCTGCAGGTCCTGCCGCCTCCCTGAAGCTCACTAAGGAACTCGCTAAGATCCTCTGAGCTAGGAGCGGGTGATGGACTTGCCAACACTTTTCCACGTCCATCAAGACCGCGCCTCCCTCCTCCTCGAGGGCTTCTGCCATCGGGTGCACGCTGATCGGGAGGCAACCCTCACGGGACAAGTGCTCTCGCTTGCTCACAGCCTCTGGCCACGCATGTGGTCTGTGGACGTGGTCCTGCTGCTCTGCACCCTCCCGGCTTCGCGCCCCTGTTGCTGTCTGTGCTGGAAAGGCCAGCACAGGCAGCCCTGGGCCTGGGGACGGCTGCTCCTTGGCGCTGCTTCCTCGTTTCCAGAGAAAAGCCCGTTTCCCCTCCTCGCTCAGCGCCCCTTTCCCAGGGGTGGACAGGCTGACAGTTTCACCTCCACTGCTCCCTGTCCTCACCCCGGGACCCGGACTGCGGTGAGGGGGCCCCCGCAAACCCCGCCTCCTGCTTGCTCGCACAGCTGGCTATACCTCCACCGCCGTCTTGATTTCAGAGATGGCTCCCTGGTCCAGCGGTGTGTGCATCGGGTTTGGTCGAATGACCTTTCTAGATTTTTCCGGCACCTGGGTTGGGATCCAGCTGATAATTAGGCCTCGAGCCAAAGCGTTGCAGAGCATTGCCAGCGTGGTGGGGTCGCTGGAACACAAGGTGTCAGCGGGTGAAGCCCAGCCTCGAGGCCTGAGTCCCGAGTCCACGGCCACTGTGCCTGTGGGGTCCCGGCTTCTGGGATTGAACAGAAACCTGCTCAGGGAGCCCATCTCGGGCCTCGAGGGAGGCAGCCTGTGGTGGCCTGCTATGGTGACGCTGTCCCCTGACACAGGTGCCTTTGCAGTGGAAGGCGGCCCTGGGCCACGTCGGCTGCACAGACAGGCCGGGGTAAGTGGTCAGAGTTTCCATCGGTCACCAGAGCAAATGGGCTGGCACCGAACCAGAAACGAGGTGGCACTAACGCGTTTACAATGGTCTCCGTGTGTTCAGAACCGGGGACTGGGATCTTCGTCTGCGACAGAAACACCCAGCCCGGCTGCACGAGGCGGCCCAGGCTCCAGGCCCCGCAGGCGCCACGTCAGAGGCCAAGCCGGCCTCACACCCACAGGCGAAGGGAGACCGCCGGGCACCTCCTCATTTCACGGCCCATTGTCTTTATTATTCATAACTAAAAACACCTCACAGCCGTATGCTGCCGCATTCCGACCCATTCCTTCCTGAATTCCTACTTTAGCGTCAGAAACAGGCTGGGGCCCTAACCGGTTTGGCTCAGTGGATAGAGCGTCAGCCTGCGGACTGAAAGGTCCCAGGTTCGATTCCGGTCAAGGGCACGTACATTGGTTGCGGCCACATCCCCAATAGGGGGTGTGCAGGAGGCAGCTGGTCAATGTTTCTAGCTCTCTATCCCTCTCCATTCCTCTCTGTAAAAAATCATTTAAAATATATTTTAAAAGGAAAGAAAGAAAGAAAGAAAGAAAGAAAGAAAGAAAGAAAGAAAGAAAGAGTCTGGGCTCCCAGGCCGGGCCCGGCCAGCATGCAGGCTCCCGGGAGCCTCCTGGACCCCCACACTCTGCTCCAAGAGGTGGTGTTTGGCTCAGGGGTGCACAGCTAGTGAAGGGGGACCCTGGGGTTGCTTGAGCAGCCCTCCCCGTGGCAGCACTAAAGAAGGGGACACCCGCCCGACCCCAAAGCCCTAGGGCCAGGACCCACCCGTTGTGGCCGACGACCTTGACGATGGTCAGGAGGTGGTCCAAGGCGTCCACCAGCTCCTTCTGCCGGCCGGCCATGATGAGGTGGTAGTTGTGGTTCAGCACGTACACCATCGCGTTGTGCACGACCCAGGCTTCCTGGATCTCCTGTCCGATCTCCGCGGACCGCAGCCAGCAGTTCATGGCGTACTGCGACAGGCCCTCGATCCAGCTCCTGCGGGACCCACTCGCCACGCTCGCCTCTGAAGCAAGACCTTCCCCAGGGGGCAGCACACATCCAGCCCAGGACACGCAGGACAATGCCCAGGATCACATCCAGCTCCAGAGGCCGGGGTCTCCCAGCCTGCTGCGGCAGGAGGCAGCTGGTGTGACGTCGGCCCAGGGCCCTGCCCGGCTGTGGAGCAGGGTCAGAGAGGTGCCCCTGCAGGGAGGTGCCTGCCACGCTCTCTCCTGAAGGACCCTGGACCTGCCCAGTCCCCCTTCTCCACCTGGGACATCCCCCGGGCACGCACACAAATCAGAGCCTCTCGCTTGGTACCGTGTCTACAAAGTCCCAGCCTCCCCGCCTGAGGGCAAAGTCCTGCCCAGGGCCACCCGCTGCCTGCCCACCCCATGGCTGCCCCTCACACTCCGGCCCCTCTCCTCACAGCGGCCAGGTCCACTCAGCACCGCGGGCGAGTGACCACTGTCCCCCTGGGTCTGGGCGTGGAAACCCTTCTGTGAAGGGCAGGGCGTGACCAGGCTCTGGGGCTCCAGGTCGCCTCTCTTGCATGTCTGCCTCTGTGTTATTCCACAGATTCTTAAATGGCAAAACCACTCAGCTCCCGGGCTGTCCAAAACCAGGCCCTGGGTCGGATGTGGCCTGGCCCCGGTCTGCTGACGCTCCAAATGGAAACGCCTGGGCCTGGGCCTGGGCCTGGGCCCCAGACAGGCGTGGCAGCCCCGCCTGGTGGCAGCTCTGAAGCCGACAGGGACAGGGGACCTTCCATCAAGTCAGACTGCCCGCACGAAGTGGCGCCTGCTCCCTTCCAGGAGCCGGCCGCTGGGGGCCCTAGGGCACGCACACCCGGGAGGCAGGCCCGTGGCGGCTGGGAGAGCGGCGGCCTGCACACTGGGAAGAGAGAGCAGGCCTTTCTCCCCGCTAGGTATGAGGGTAAGATCAGTCACGTACGGCACAGCTCCCCGGACGTGAGTCTACACCCAGTCCCTCACGTTAAAAAATACTATCAGATTCAAAAACAACTCGGAGTGTCATTGTTAACACAGCCCCGCTTCCCGAGTCTCCTGGACGTTCCACGGGAAACGCTGTGTCATCTACAGGGCGCCGTGAGGTGTGGCCCCACACCTTTTCCTCTGAGCCAATCACAGAGTGCCCCTCGCTCTTCCCCACCTTCTCACTCACTCACAGCCCGAACCCCTGCACCCCAGGCCTGGGGCCGTCCTCACGCAGGACACCAGCCAGGCTGCTGGTCGGACACAGCCCCGCCCTCTGCTCCACGCCTCCGCCGGCGGCCACAAAGCCCGCGCTCCGTGGACAGACGGTGCCCCGGGCGCAGAGGACACGGGGACCCCACCGGTCACGCGGCCCCTACCTGTACGTGTTCCACTCCGAGTTTTCTTCGGGGGACTCGGCCACGTAGCCCATGGGGTGCTGGCTCAAGTTCTCGGTGGGCTTGGGGTGGTCATTGAGCTCCACGCCCTCTGCCTGGAGCAGGTGCACCGTGGCCTGCGTGGGAACGGCGTGGCGGAGAGGTCACGGAGCCACGCCCCATGCCAGGCACAACTCAGAAACTACTTCGAGGGAAAATGTATGGCAAGCATGTCACATTTAGACTTCGGGGTTACTCCCAGAAAACCCCAGAACCCAGGTGACTCCCTATACACGGACTCATTTAGGGAGCAGGGGTGGGGACACGTGACACCTCTGCCACCCCATCAGGAGGTGGGGTCAAGGCCGAGGGCAGTGCCCATGCGGCCACCGCGGAGGACTGAGCGGATGCTGGAGGGGACCTGCGCACAGGACATACCTCGGCGCTGATGAACCCCACCTCCGCGAACTGCCGCAGCAGGCTGGGGGACCCCGGCCTCTGGAGCTGGATGTGATCCTGGGCATTGGTGTCCAACAGGCCGTCCCCACCCCGCTTCTTCTTCCCTGGGGGGACAGCAGTGCTCTAGACGCGGCCAGGGGCCACAGGCAGGACAGCGGCCCCTCCCGGCTCTGGGGTGGGCGGGGGCTCTGGGGGGTGGGCTCTGTGCCCCGGAGGGGGTGGAGGAAACTTCCCCAGGGGCAGCAAAGGTGCCCCCATCTCTAGTTGACCCTACAGACTGCATGTTCTTGGTTTTGCTCCTGCAGGTTTCCCACCAAGCCTGCCAGCCTGCCTCCGGGGCTGCCTCTCACCTCTCACAGGTCCCTGTGTCTCAGCTGCCCAGACCGCCGCCCCCCAGCCCCTCCCCGGGACCTGCACCTGGACTCACTCCCGGACCCCGCTGCCCGCCACGCTCCTGGGAAGCACGCCTGCACGGAGCTGTCCACACTCAGCCTCGCCCACGCCGTCAGTCTCAGCACTCGGCCCACATTGGGTCTCTCACGCACAACAGGTCCCTTCCCTTTTCTCAACCCCTAACGGCCCTAAAGTGACTGTGGACGTCAAATAAGATGATCGACAGGAAGCCAGAAGCACAGAGGAGGAGCCTTGTCAGCAATAATGGCCCTGTGATCACCGCCTCTCACCGTCCCACTCTCGGGCTGACCCTGTCATCACAGCCCTCTCACCGTCCCATTCTCGGGGAGTGACCACATGACACACTCTCTCTCCTGGGATGACCCTGACATCACTGTCTCCCCATCATGAGCAGTGTCCGCAGCCAGCTGCAAACATCTGTAAAATCCTGTTTGCACTTGAAGGCCCACTGGACTCCAGTCCTCGCACACCGACCCTTTCCCTCACTGCAGGACCAGCCCCGGCCTCTTCCCGGGCCTGGCGGCTGCTGCTGGGCTCCCAGCCCTGCAGGGAGCCGGGTGCTGACGGCGGTTTGCGCCTACCTTTCTTTGCCCGCGCCATCTTCTTCACCTTGACGCTGTCGTACAGGAGGCAGAAGCGGCTGGCTGTCCGGCAGACATCCCACACGCCTTGCTTTCGGGCAACCTTGGCCAGCTCTGCCCAGATCAGCACCCTGCTCACCAAAGGCCCAAACAAAGGGAGACATGAACTTGGCTGCGGCTGGCAGAAGCAGAAACCACTAGAATGACTGCCCCTGAGAAGAAGGCACTGGTGGGTCCACAGTTTCAAGGTTGCAAAAAGCAACGTGAGACAATCAATGCTCACAGCCGGGGGCTTGAGGCAACAGGGTGGCCTGGCAGGGTGGAGCTGTCGCGGGGGGCTGGGGTGAGAGGGTAGGGGGTGCCCAGGCCCACTGTCAGGGCAGCCACACCCCCCGTCGTCTATTTAACATGCTTGGCCTCGGGGGCAATGGGGTGGCTCCCTGCCAGGCCCCTAGCGGTGGCTTCCTCCTCCACGTGGGCCCGGGGCCCCGAGCTCGGGGGCCTGGCCGCCGTGAGCCTGTCCTCCTCGGGGTCCCCACGCACCTTTCCTTCTCATTCTCGCTCCCCAGGCGCCGCAGGTGGCCGGCCACTTTCTCCACGCTGATGACGTGGTGCCGCGCCTTGGCGTAGAGGGCGGTGAACCGGCCCCTGTTCCTCCCGGTGGAAACTGAGGGCGGAAACCAGAGGCAGACAAGGCTGACCTCATGCAGGGGTCACATGACGTGGAGGGACTGCACCTCCGCTCACGGGAAGACCTGTGCAGCCACAGTCACAGTATCCCCAGGCTCTGGGCTCGGACAGAGCGCAGAGGGACCCTCCTGGGACATTTCCGGCCTTTTGATGGGAGTCAGGTCGAGCTAACTGTGCCTGTGGGGGGGGATGAGAGGGAAAGGTGCCAGGCCGCTGGGCACAGCATGTTGCAGGCTCATCCTGGTAACCCTGCCCTATTCTGTGCCGTGGCAATGCCACCCAGGCCCCAGATGGCTTTCCCTCATGCCGGTGCCTGCCCAGTGCCTGCCATCCCCACGCCCAACGCCAGGTGTCTGAGCAGCTTGGCATTGGAGGCCGCCCCCCCCCCCCCCCCCCCCCGCCCCGCACATAAGCACGCGCTCTGAGAGCTCGATGTGAGGGCCAGGGCACAGGAGGAGCTCGGGCTCGGAGGCAGCACTTACCTTTGGTCTCGTTCTCGCTGTCGAGCACGATCTGGAAGGTGTCAGGGGCCAGGGCCAGGCCGGCGTTCACCAGGAGCGCCCGCTTCTTCCGGACGCTGTCTTTGGGCATGGCCTTCTTCGCCTGGACACGGGGAGAGGGTTCCTGTCTCTCCCGGGCGCTCGCGGGCTCTGAGAGGCGCCGGGGGGGGGGGGGGGGGGGGGGGGGGGGGGGGGGGGGGGGGGGGGCCCCCCCGCACCGCACCTGCTCGATGGCCATGATGGCCTTGTCCTCGGCGCGCTCGGGGGACTGGTAGAGCATGGAGCAGAGGCGCAGCCGGTTGAAGGCCATCTTGAGCTTCTCCTGGTAGAGGCCCTGGCTGTCCAGCCCCATGGCCTTCTGCAGGTGCTCCAGGGCGGGCTCCAGGCGGTCCTCGTCCTCCTCGATGCGTGCCATCTCCATGTGCACTTGGCAGCGGAGCAGGACCATGAGGCTGGAGAGCAAGCACGGGTGGGCGGCGTCACGGGGCGGGGGGCACGCCAGCCGCCTGCGAGGGCCTCGGGGGCACCGCGCAGGCGGCCTCCACATCCCGCAGGTGCCACCCGCCTCGCCTCGAGGACTGGCACAGAGAGAGGAGGTCCCTGCCAGCCACAGTGGGCCTGAGCCCTGCAGGCTGAGCCTTGGTTGATGCGAAAAGGTATTGAGGGCAGCCTGACCCTGCTCGGACGAACTGCTGCCTCATCATCCGCAGCCTCTGCAGCCCTCCTGGAGGACGGGTGCCGCCCCCTGCTGGCGGCTCTCGGGGGAGAATGAGCTGGATTTCACCCTCGCCCCTCCTGTGCAGGAACTCTGGCCTCGCTCTCGCCCGCCCGCCGGCATGTCTCCCCTCTCAGAGGGGACGGCCTAGAACGCAGACGCTGAGCTACCTGTCCACCTTCTCCAGGATCTCGGCGATGTTGGTGAGCGGCTTGCGCAGGTGGTGCCGCAGGTTGTGCTGCAGCATCGGGAGGCACAGGTTCCACTGGGCGGTGCACACCACGTGGATGACCTGGGGGCTGCCCAGGCGGATGGCTCGCTGCAGCGCAATGTCCAGCCTCTGTATGATCGTCAGCTGCGTCTGCAGAAAGGGCAGCGGCCAGGTTGGGAGCCTGGAGGACGGGTACCGGTCGGCCCCGGGGAAGTCTGAGGGTCAGGGTGAGGTCTCTGCCATGTCCCCGGTGCCCTCAAACGTGGCACAAACCGGGCTCTCACAGCGGGCGGGCGGGCGGGCGGGGTTTACCTCCACAGCCACGCGAACGTAGGTTTTAATTTGACTTTCGAGTCTTAAAGCTTCTAATTCATACTCCAAGCATTCAATCTCGATCAGCTTCCCAGGGTCCTGCAGAACGCAAACAGGGAGGTTTTTCAGGAAGGCGATCATACACACTGGTGAACTTCAACGACAATTTTAATCAACTCCATGTACTAGGTAGAAAATCAGCAAATAAAAATCATAGCACAAGAATATATTTAAAAATGTTTAATGTTTATAAAAGATACAAAGATTTAAGTGAAAAGGCTAAAACGAATTGTACCTTCTGAGCTGCCCACAACAAAGACGGAGGGAGACGAGCCTCCTGGGCTCCCAAACCTCCCCCCCACCACTTCCTGTCCGATCCCAGCGGGCAGTGCCCACACCCCCCATCACTGGACGCTTACTTTGCTGTCAATGCCCTGCAGGTCTGAGAGGCAGCTGGCGGCGATGTCCTCGCACTTCAAGGTCAGAGAAAGATGAGCTAAGTCAAAAAGCAACGCGAGTCTGGGGACAAAAGCAGAGCAGCAACGCCTCAGCCGGTGCCGGGAAGTCGCCCCTCCGGCCGCTCAGGCGTCCCGTCCGCAGGCACCGAGGCAGGAAGTAAGAGGAGAGCAGGTAGACTGGCCGGCAGCTCGGCTGCTTTGAGCGTCATCCTGATGCGCCAAGGTTGTGGGTTTGACCCCTGGGCCACCGTACATACAAGAGTCAACCCACGAATGCACAGGTGAGCCGGAGAACAAGCAATGCTTCTCTCTCTCCCTCTCTCTATCTCTCCATCTCCATCTCTTCCTCTATCTCTCTATCTCTATCTCTCTCCCTCCCTCTCTCCAAAATCAATAAATTTTAAAACCATCTTTAAAATATAATAAAATTTGCATGGCAATGCCAAGGACCTATGATGGCCTGAGCAACTCTGAGAAAGGACAAAGCCAGAGGACTAACCTACCTGACAGTAGGACGCTACGAGGACGGGCCCTGCAGCCGGAGAAGGCCCGTCCGCGTGGCGGGCGCATGGTGGGCGCGGTGGAAGCTGCGGTGCTTCCTGTATCATTCGTTCCCTTCCTCCCGCCCTCGCCAGATCTCGCTCCGCCACAAGCAGCGGTGGAACTGGCGCATAAACACTTACTTTTCCTCCTCCGGCGAAGGCGGGCTCTGGTGGTTATAGGCGTCTAACTGCTTGTAGGTCCTCTTCAGAATGTTGTTGGCATCTTCGGGTAATTCATTTTTATCCAGTTTCCTGGAGTTAATCCAAACACAAACAACCCAGCTCCCGGTGGGCTGATTCAGACCATCCTACCAAAATACTCCGAGTCCCGGAACCGGTCTCTCCCCCCGAACAGAGGCCTAGAACAAAGCCACCTCCTTTCTCTCCTCGGCTCCTGGTCGACTTCCACACGCCTCACGCGCCCCCACCCCCAGGCCCTACATCACCGAAAGCTAAAACATCCCGGACACTGTGCGCCAGCCCCTCCACCGGGCCAGCCGCACCCACACAGCCCGCCCTGCGGGATGCCACGCCTTCGCACTGGCTGCCCCGGGACTCGCTACCCTGGCCTCTCCCCTACGCTGGCATCTCGCCCCCGCTACCCCCTCCGTGGCAGCAGGTCTGTGCCCGGGTATCACTCCTCTCCCTGGGCCCTCTGGCTGCCCCAGCGGGGTCTCACCCGCTCCCCTGGCTTTGCCAAGTCTCCTGGCCAGGCTCCAGCCCCCCCTTCTTCACGGCCGCCCCACAGCTCCTCCCACAGGCCCGGCAGAGAGGGGGCCCTGAGCAATCCCACGCCTGTCCTCCCTCCCTCAACACTCACTGTGTCAGCAGGTTGATGTGGAAGATGATGGCTAGGCTGGCAGAGCTTTCCGTTTCTTCCTTTAGATGAGTCTCGTCCATCAGTTCATGGCGCACCTGTTGGAGAGCGGAACGGGGAATCGATCCAGGTCTCAGTGAGGGATCAGGTAGGGATCAAACACCGCGGTTAGCTATTCCTTCGCAAGCATTCCTTCGTTAACGTTCGCCTGCAACGAACAAGTATCTTTTCATTAATTATGGTTGGCACTTCGCTTTTCACCTCTAACTTGATTTCCAACACAACCTGTAATAGGCTATGAGTGCTCTTCGTACACATTGCTCTGGTCATCACTTTCCAGATTTGCCACTGTCTTTAAAGGTCAATGCCATGCCGAAACCGGTGTGGCTCAGTGGATAGAGCGTCAGCCTGCGGACTGAAGGGTCCCGGGTTCGATTCTGGTCAAGGGCATGTACCTTGGTTGCGGGCACATCCCCAGTAGGGGGCATGCAAGAGGCAGCTGATCGATGACTCTCTCTCTCTCATTGATGTTTCTTACTCTCTATCCCTCTCCCTTCCTCTCTGTAAGAAATCAATAAAAATATATTTTAAAATAAATAAATAAATAAATAAATAAATAAATAAAGGTCAATGCCGAGACAGAGGAAAGACTCGGGGTCGCGGTGAAGGACAGCTGTGAAGGACACTGTGTGTCTGCGTGCGCTGTGTCCCTCAGCGGCTGGACCTGCCAGCTGGTTTGATACAGTTTTCAAAGCAAACTGAAGGCGCTGAGCAAAATCACTTCTTTGTCTCCCCGTTTAACCCGCGACTCACCATCACAGAGAACAGCTGCTGGTACCGGTGCGGCGCATGCTCCTTTATGAAGGGCGCGGCCGTGGTGCAGAACTTCTCGGCCTCCTCTCTCCTTCCAGCCTGCAGGTAGCACTCCAGAAGCTCCCTGGGTGACATAGAAGCAGCGGACAGGAAACGCTGGGGAAACCACTTTCTGTCGGAAATGTCTAATAAGCTGTTGTGCTTGTGTTATTTTCATGTTTCACAGACTTCGGGAGACACAGGGCGGGCCAGCTCCTTACCCCAAGCCACCATCCAGCTTCGCAGGGATGGGGATGGGGATGGGGAAGGGGATGGAACTATGGGACACGCTCACATTGCCTGTGTTTTGAGTCAAAGCACATGACCCGTTGTAGCACCCATGTGATGTCATCCACAGTTAGAGCCATCTTCAGACACGTCACACAGAGCAGGACGCTCGCTACAGAGGTGATCGCCCTGGGGGTGATCGCCCGCCCTGCGCCCGCCTCCACTCACAGCATCAGCTCCGCCTGCCAGTCCTTGTCCTCCTCCTCGGTCTGGTTTAACACGCTCACGATCTGGGAGAGGCTGGAGATCAGGAACTGGTAATACCCGGGCTTGAGAAAGGGCCTCACCATTTGCCAGTAGAGGACCGAGGCGTTATAGACCAAGAAGTAATACCTACGGCACAAGACGGAAGAAGTCGGAGGCGAGGTGGGAAGCAGAGCCTGTCCCCAGCCCTCTTCTAGAAAGAAAGCTGAAGCCCTCTGTCCCCAGCAGAGGGCAGCAGTCCCCTCTGAGACACACGGGCCGCACTGCATGAACAAACATGCACGGCCCTCCCAGGGGCAGCCTGGTGCCCTGCTCACACAGCAGCTCAGCCCCTGCCACAATCGCCCGGCCACAGGCTCCCGATGCCAGACTGGAGAGCACCTCTCTCATTCAGTCACTCCACAAAGTACCCAGCTCCCCATGAAAATATACCACTGATCCAGGCCTCCACTGGCTCCCACGGAATAGACAAGAACAGGCAAGAGCAGAGAGAATCAAGGAAGGCTTCCTGGAGGTAACAGCCTGCAGAGACCCAAAAGGTGGCCAGGAAATCAGCCAGGAGAGCAGTGCAGGAAAAGAGGACTGGCAGGGAGAGGAGGGAGAGCGGAGCCTTCGGGGAGCAGGCTGTGTGTGCACACAGAAAAGGGGGGGGGGGGGGGCGCGAGGTCAGGGCACCCCTGGGAAGCTGGGCTTCTTCCTGAGGGCTGCAGGGAGCCACCTGAGGGGCTGAGTTCAGAATCACAGGGGCTGATTCGCCCCTTTTTATACAGGCCTGGGGGGGGGGGGGCGGTGAAGTTGGGGGGACTCTGCCTTGTAGGACCCCGGGTGTCTATAGGTCTTCTCCACTGGCCCCCAGATGCATGCGTGATGCTAATTAAAACTATTGCCCAGGAAGGAGAAGGACTTGGGGTGCTGGCAGTAAGACAGGGCTGCTGGTTCCTTTGTGGGTTTACTCAGAGCCCCAAGCCCCTGGCATGCAGCAGTGAGCAGGCCCCTCCCTGACAATGCTCACCGTTCCCGTCTCCTGGCCCCAGGGCATGGTCCCCTTGAAACACCCACTGTCCTTAGAACCTCTGGCGTGAGACCACTGGGCTTCCCTGTCTGCAGGTCCCCAGGGAGGGAGTCTGGGGCTGGGCCCTGCATCTCCAGCTCCTATCACAGGCGCCAGCCGGGGAAGGCCATTAACGGCAGGTAGCGGGACCGTGAGTGAGCGAACCCAGGATTTAAGCTGAAATCTCCTTAAAATGTTGTGTCCTGTCTAAAAAGGTTGCGTCCAAGCTCACATAGTGTTTTTGATGCAGCAAGGATTAATTAAAGCAAGAAAACTGTTGGGAGTCTCAGCCAAATCACCTCCACAGACATGAGGCCTGGGCCCAGGTGGTGGCGGGGGGGTGGGGACACAGGCCAGTGGGGGCAGCACAGGGAGGGAACGGAGAGGCTGAGCCCCCGAGAGGCCCGGGAACTGGTGAAACGAGGCCCACAGAGGAAGCTGGTGCAAGTCACTCTGACCAGAGCAGAGGAAGCAGCCACAGGGACTGTGCCCTCAGCCCAGCGCTACCTTAGACACGTGGGTGACACTGTAAGTGCACTAATCACACAGAGAGAACCACTGGGTAGATTCTGGTCTAAACCTTTTGCACAGTCCCGTTGGGAGCGACAGGACCATGGCCCACCTAGATTCTCCTTTGGCGAAGTTGATCACTTTCATGTACTGAGTCACACAATTTTCAAACTCCTCCTAAAACATAAAGAATTGCACAATTAGCCCTGGCCGGTTTGGCTCAGTGGATAGAGCGTCAGTCTGCAGACTGAAAGGTCCCAGGTTCGATTCCGGTCAAGGGCATGTACAGTACCTTGGTTGTGGGCATATCCCCAGTAGGGGGTGTGCAAGAGGCAGCTGATCGATGTTTCTCTCTCATCGATGTTTCTAGCTCTCTATCCCTCTCCCTTCCTCTCTGTAAAAAATCAATAAAATAATATATTTTAAAAAGAATCGCACAATTAGCCCTGGCCAGTTTGGCTCAGCAGACTGAAGGGTCCTGGGTTTGACTCAGGTCAAGGGCACATGCCTGGGTTGTGGGCTCCATCCCCAGAAGGGGGCGTGCAGGAGGCAGCCGATAAGTGATTTTCCCTCATCGCTGATGATTCTATCCCCCTCCCTTTCTCAATAAAAATATTTTTAACACTTTAAGGTTTGTGTAGCCTGACATAATTTTGGAAGGGCATGTCACATGTTAACTGTTGTGACTCAAGTTGTGGAATTTTGAGGAGAATCAAGGCAACCTCCTGGGGGAAGCAGAGTAGGACAGATGCCTCATCTCACTGGCAACACTGACTGTCCATGTCCAGCCTCCTGGTCCACAGGAACTAAAGGGAAACGCAGGGCGCCCTGGCTGCTTTGGCTCAGTGGATAGAGCGTTGGCCTGCGGACTAAAGGGTCCCAGGTTCCATTCAGGCCAACGGCTCTATCTACCACCCTCCGCCCCGCCACCAGGGGGCGTGCAGGAGGCAGCCAATCGATGATTCTCATCATTAATGCTTCTATCTCTCTATACCTCTCCCTTCCTCTCTGAAGTCAATAAAAAAATATATATATATTTAAATGAGCTCCGGGAACCGGCTCTCACCAGATTTTCGGTGGACTTGGGGGCACACAGCTGGGCCCTGCACAGGTGCGCTCGGCCCAGAAACTGGGTGACCGGCCCCTTCGCCTTGAAGTACATCTGGATGCAGTCCTCGCTCACCTCCGGCTGCCCCATCTGCAAGACAGCACCGCCTGCCGCTGCCCCCTCCCCGGACGCACCGGGCGGAGCCGGCGGGCGCCCTGGGGGGCAGGTCCGGCGGCCTCTCCCGCGGGCACCCCGGGGCGCCGTGCCCGCCCCGCCCCAGCTCCCGGCGGACACCCCGGGACGCCACCTTCAGGGCCTGCTCGGCGCACAGCACGAACAGGTCGGGGCTGAAGCTCTCGGTGGGGTCAAACTCGGACTTCCCCAGGTTGGCGGCCTTGATCAGCTCGTACGCCCGCTTCAGGGAGGCGGCATCTGTCGGGACAGCCGTGGGGGAGGCTGGTGAGCAGCGGGGGGCGGTCGCGGGGGGGGAGGGGGTCCCGGGGGCCTGGGCCAGGCTGCGGCCCGCCTGCCCCCGGGGCCGCCTGCGGGGACAGCGTCCTCCCCGCACGGCCCCGCCCCCGCGGCCGGCGGGGCAGCCTCAGGCTCAGAATCGCGGGCTCCCGGTTCCGCTCCCGGGAGGGGGAGGAGGGATATTGGGGGGCGGGGGTCCCCAGGGTCCAGAAGGACCTCGGAGTCCGGGTCCCCGCCCACCCTGCTGGCTCTCGGCGCGGGCCAGCTCCTCAGTAATGACCAGGTCCATGGCGCCTCTGCCTCAATCTCTTGCAACCGCTGGCGGTTGCCTAGCGACAGGGGGACGCGGACCGGTCCTACAGGTCGGCAGCGGGGCCACACTTGTCCGGAAGCGAACTCCCCCTAGCCTGCCCTATGCGTTCCCCAGACTGGGAGAGTGAGGGCCTCCGGGGAGCAGAGCGGAGCTGAAAACTACCTGGAAACACAGAGCTTAGGAAAAGCTGTCCCGGCTTATCAGACAGGGACAGACAGGGACAGCTAGGTAGCTGGAGAACCCTACCTCACTCTGACACCAAAATAGCTCGAGAGGTATCAAGAAGTGAAATCAAAAATAAAATGAGGCCAAAAGTTCCCCAAATAAAGCAGATGGTTATAAGAATTCTTGGTCTGGGAATGAGAAGGGTACAAAACCCAGAGACTATAAAAGAAAAGGTGGTGACCCCATAAAAAATTCTAAGTGATAAAAAAAAAAAAAAAAAAAAACCCTCTTAGAGTAACTGAGGAAACAATGGCAACACAGCCTCTAGGCGGAGGGCTGATTTCGTAAAACCCTACAGATCTGTAAGCAACGAACCCGCTCGCAGACCCACCCGGGAAGCAGACACCAGCAGCATTCAAACACAATAATCTCATAAGAAAGAGCAATATGAATCCGAAGGACAAGAGAGCATCCTTCACCTACTGGTGGGGAAAGAGAAAAAGGTTTGACAAGACAGTGGTTTGGAGAGAATGTGGGAAAATGGAAGGTCATGTGGGAGAATAAGCTGGTACCACCTCTGAGGAGGGCAACTTGGGGATATCTGTGGCGATTCCCAATGCACATTCCCAATGCATTTTCCCAGAATTCCACTCCTCTAGCCTCTATGCGTGACTCAGAGTGAGCCCCAACTTCCTGCTTCTCTCTGGCCTTCGACCTGCCCCGTTTGGGGACCCCAGTCAGCCCTTGGAAGGCTCCAGGCAGCAGCTCCTGGGGAGCCATGGCCAAAGAAGGATGTCAGGGTGTCACTGGAATCAAGTAGCTGTGGGGAAGGGGTACGAGAGGAGCATTACCTTTCAGAATGATGCTCTCCTCTACTCAAGAGAGAAAAGGCTATCTATTTTGTGGGACTGTGGCCAGCACTGCTCCCCCTCACCTGTGGCTCAGAGCAGACTGGTGGAGAGAAATGTGTAATGAGATGCAAGAAGTACTGGAAGAACAAAGGGACAGAGGAGGAAAGCCAGGACAGACAGCAGGGCGGAGCCAGGCTGCGCCTGCAGGCCAGAGGGGTACAGAATGGAGAGGACGCCAGCTGCGAAGGAAGGCTGGGTGGGTCTGAGTGCCTGGTCACTTCCTACAACCCCTGGAGGCCATACCCCTGGAGGCCATGCTGTCTTCATTCATCCACGGAAGGGCACAGGCAGAATCCTGCCTCGGGGCTCCGAGGGTCGCTGCAGGGTGGGAACACGGGCTCTGGAACAAACCCAGGGGCTTTGGCCCCTGCAGGCCACACTGGTCAGTCAGGGACCTGCCTGAGACAGAGAGATGGTGCTGAGTGGGGGGCACGGGGCTGGTGCATGGTGCTGCTTGGGGACCGGTACCCGGGGAGGCTTTAGGATATTTCACTGCCCAAACCTCCGAGTTTGCCTCCTGGGCTCTGCAAGGAGGCTACTGACTACGGAGAGCAGGAGAGCACACTGGGCCTCGCCTGCATTTGAAGGCGAAAGAGCCTCCACCTCCTGGCCCTGCAGCTCTGCGCCCCGAGGCGCTGGCTGGTATTTTTAGCCACCTATTCAGGGGCCCTCCCTCCCTCCCGCTAATGGCCTCGGAATGAACGGTACGAACGCGCTTCCTATTATTCTCCCAGCACCGCACACAGCAGGCAGCTAGCTGTTCAAATGCAACATCAGTCGCTCCGCTGGGCGGCACAGCGATGGGATAGAAATAGAAGATCCCGCCATCTACCCATCCAAGTGGGCGACTAAATCCGGATGCCAGCGATGACCCCGCCACCCTGCACACAGACGGTGACAGCTGTGCTAAGGCGCTGGCCCGGGGCACTGGCTCTTCCTCACTGTTTCCTGACGTCCTGGCGCTGGGCAGCCTTTTGGTGGACACCCTGGGGGCCCTGCAGGGTGTGGGTCCTTCAGGTGAGCCCCCCTGCGGGGACAGAGAGAACGTTCTGGATTTGTGTCTCTTCTTAAGGTTTGCCTGCTCCTGGGAGTCTGGGCTGCCTCTGCTGTGCTCGGGAGCTGGAATGAGCAGCCACATGGGCTCCCCCAGGACCTTCCGGGCAGCTCCAATTCCTCCCTCCTCCTCAGGCCTCTACGGCTGCCCCACCCGCCTGGTGATGAGGCTGCGGGGAGGCAGGGCCGAGAGCGCCGTTCTCACTGGGCCCAGTGGAACCCGAGGCTTTCCACCTGGCCTGGGTCCCAGCAGGACCGAGCTCCAGGCCCTAGCGGGGCTCCTCTTTAACGCTCCAGTCCTGTCCTCCCTCCACCTCCCATCTCCATGCCCCACGGTGCTCCCTGAGACACCCTCCCGGTACATCACACTCAGACCCCAGGCTGAGACAGGCCCACAGCAGAACCAAACTCCCTCCTGGAGGTGGGCGCTGGCCTCGGGGCTGAGCCAGCTCACTGTCCAGCGGCCTCGGCACCCACATCCACGTCTGGCTGGCGGAGATGACCTGCGGAGGCAGCCGAGCAGAGGAACAGGGGCGTGGACAGAACGTGGAGCTGGGAGATGGTGGTGCCTCTGGGGGTTTGGCCGTTCACACCCCCAGCCTGGTCCCCAGACTTTGCTTCCCGATTCTCCTTTAGAGAGAACATGCTCCCGGGCGAGCAGTTCTCCATCAACAGAGCCTGACGCCACTGCCACGCGTCAGCCCCAAGGCCCCAGGCTCGGCTGTGGGACACCACAGGCTGTCCTTTGGTGAGAGGAGCACGCCTGGGCCCAGACTGTCCCGCTCAGGCTCGGGGTATGTGGGCGGCGGTGGGCCTGGGACTCTGGCTGCATCCACGTGTTACCAGACTAAGCCTGGCCAGGGGCGCAGGGGCCCGGGGACTTCCAGCACCTGCTCCTGCCTCGGGGAGGCGGGTTCGCTGAGGCTGTGCGAGGCTGGAAGGGAGCTGTCACCATTCAGGGATGCCGGCAGGGAGTTGGAAATCTGGAAGTGTTGTGACGGAGGTTGGCTTTAATTATATAATACTTCCAAGGTTGGAATCAGAATAAGGGCAGAGGTTGTAGAAGGCAAGCGGAAATGTCAGCATGTCTGCAAATGCAAACCGTGGGCCTCCGTGGTGCCCTCACCGGGGCTTACTACTGTGTCCTGGGAGCCCCTGGGAGGAGGCAGCCTGCGTTGGCATGGGAGGCCTTACCCCATCACCCTGAGGACTGATGTGTGGACCATGTGTGAGTATGAGCATGCATATGTGTGAGCATGCATGTGTGTGAGCCTGAGCATGTGTGTGAGAGCATGTGTGTGTGTGTGTGTGTGTGTGAGAGAGAGAGAGAGAGAGAGAGAGAGAGAGCAGGTTAGTGTGAGCACGTGTGACTACCCTCTCTACATGAGTTCCCCAGCAGGCAGGCGAGCCCTGCCCTGCCCTGCCTGCCCTCCTCACCGAGTGACACTCCCCTCCCCCACAGAACGGCAGTCAGAACTGAATCCAGCTGAACTGACGAGTGTCTTCTGGGAGCAGAACCCGGACACCATGCTCTGGGAGGGGTCACCGTCACCAGAACCAAGGTTCAGCCGCCACAAAAAACAAACTGGTGAGGCAAATGCTGGTGAAGAAGGAAAGAGGTTTATTCAAGTACCAGTGACCTGAGAAGATGAAGGTCTCTTATTGCCAAGTTCATCTCCGCCTCTCAGAGGCTCCTGTAAGGAGGGAGGAGGAAGGCAAAACAAAGAGAATTCTCTACTTGCAGGCCAGCACAGTCCATCCCGACAAGGACCTCGCAACTGCTCTGTGTGCGTCACCCTGGTCTTCGTCATCCTGGCTCTCCATTTGAAAGTTAGCAAATCTCCTAGAACTTGGATGGCTAAAGGCTGGAGTCCATATCTTCTGAAATTAGTCCCTCGGGTTCTTATACAAATATTAGGAGCCTATCATACAGCCCCGCCCACCCACCCGCTGGCCTGCCTTGACACTGAACCTCTCCCCGCAGAGCTGCAGGGTGCCTGGCCCAGCCCCCGAGGCCTCTGGCCTTCTCTGGCCGCTTCAAGCCCCGTCCTCCGTCACCGCAGGCTGGTCCCAGCGTGGAAGCCTCCTGCCTGCTGCGCTGTGCTCCTTCCCCTGGCAGGTGGGCATGGAAGCACTCTGAGTGCAAGCGGTGTGGGTGGTGAAGGACTGGTGAGGGGGGAGCTACAGGCTCTCACCCCCACCCTCCCCAGAACCGGATGGTCCCGCCTCTTCCTGGTGCCTTCCGCACGTCAGCCCATCTCTGGAGCAACGCCTCACCACGCATGTGCAGGCAGCCCCCTGCCATTGGTCGTTACGCGTTACAACGTCCCAACCATTAGCATGTTAGCTCTTCATTATTATGACTAGATGCCCGGTGCCTGCACCAGTGGGATCCCTCAGCCTGGCCTGTGCCCTCTCCCAATCCAGGACCCCTCAAGGGATGTCAGAGAGCTGGTTTCAGCCCGATCCCCGCAGGCCAGGCCAAGGGACCCCACTGGTTTGTGCACCAGGCCTCTAGGATGCATGTAAGATCCTTGGTTAATCTCTTGCTGCCCTCTCCCCAACCCCCTTCCCTCTGAGATTCATCAGTCTGCTCCATGTTTCCAAGCCTGTGCATTGAGCATCTTCCCCCTGGTGGTCAGTGCATGTCATAGTGAACTATCGACCGGTCGCTTAGGCTTTTATATATATAGATGATTATGATGATGTTATCTGCAAACTACATGTTAGTCAGAACCAGATTTACAGAAACAATGTCAAAAGAATGGTGGTTTGGGTTACAGTTCCCCACTGTTACATCATCTTGGGTATAAATATCTCTCTTCGATGAATTGGAAAGTGAAACTA